TCCTGCTTAGCTTAAAAATCTTTGTATACGTTTATTAACAAACTTGTCCTTTAGAGAAAATATGATTGTCTTTAATTATACCATGTATCTCTATCCATAAGTTTTTGCCTTATTGTGCTCCGTGCCTGACTTTTTTCACATTTTTTTGCCGGTCCAAATGATCTCAAAAGCTTTTGATATTATATGGTAACAGTGAATTATAGAATGTTGGAACTTGGGATTGTATCTTTTGTATAATCTACTTAGGTGATTAAACATTAGTTGACCCTCACCCATTTAGATGTCTTCAGTAAGATGCATTTGGACCCAAAGAAGTATCGCATGAGGCACGATACGTTGAAATCTTGTTTCTGATTTTTGAATATTGAGATATGGTTCAGAGATAATACAAATGCTATGTTTTTTTGTCAAAATTCATTCTGGTGTTATTTACTGTGCAACAGGTTGCTAATTGGTGATTTTTGTACAAGTATAAAATTTGAACTGCATAAATGAAAGCGCAATCTTTTCTTAACATGATTTGTGAGATGCTTTGAATGTACTTGGCTGGACGATATTTCCCGTTACGATTCTGATAGGAAATTTAAATGTTTCTTTCAAATTTTGTGTTATAACAGTTACCCGCCAATATCAAGCTGAGGTACTCAACTAGAATGGGTGGGGATGATGCTGCTTTGAGAAAGAAAAAAGGTAAGGGTATAGAGGGGGAAACTGATTCAGGGACTGTGAAGGTAGAAGAAGAGACACCCAAAGAGACGCGTCTTGCTACACTAGATATTTTCGCAGGTTGTGGTGGTCTGTCTGAAGGTCTGGAAAAAGCGGGTATGTTGTATATGTCTCTGACTGCACTAACAGTCCCTTCCTGTCCTGATTTGAATGTTTACCGTATCATATGCTTGGGCAAATTTTTAACTTTCCTGTTTACGTTTTTCATGCTAGGTGTATCTTCAACAAAGTGGGCGATTGAATATGAAGAACCAGCTGGGGATGCTTTCAAACTTAACCATCCTGAATCAACAGTGTTTGTTAACAACTGCAATGTGATTCTTAGGTAAGCAGTGTGACAAGATAATTGTGTACTTCTCCCTTATTGGTCTACTTGTGTGGAGTAACTTGTTACTGGTATTATCTGCAGGGCTATAATGGAGAAGTGTGGTGATTTAGATGATTGTATCTCCACCTCAGAGGCTGCTGAACTCGCAGCTTCACTTGCTGAGGAGCAGAAAAGTGCTCTGCCGCTTCCAGGCCAGGTGGATTTCATCAATGGAGGACCTCCATGCCAGGTATTTACTTCAGATCTTTGCTTTGCACGTTTATCATTTGTTTCACTTGGTGGTGGATAAGTTACATGGCCTTTTTTTTGTACTTGGCAGGGATTTTCTGGTATGAACAGGTTTAACCAAAGCACTTGGAGCAAAGTTCAGTGTGAAATGATACTAGCATTCTTATCTTTTGCTGATTATTTCCGGCCGAGGTATTTTCTCCTGGAGAATGTCAGAAACTTTGTGTCCTTCAATAAAGGACAGACATTTCATTTGACTTTGGCTTCACTTCTCCAAATGGGTTATCAGGTAAACTTCTGGATTGTTGTATCGCCTTATGTTTTCTCTGTTTTCCATTTGATTGATTTTCATAGAAGTTTGTCTCATATGAGAACGGTGTGATCATGACTTGCATAGGCTGTGATTACATATTTCATGCAATTGTGATATGGGACATATGTCTGAGAGAACAAAAGAAATGTCTTCAGGAAGCAAAATTCCATTTGATATTGAAACACTGAAGATGACATTATATAGTTCATTTCTTTTTGCAGGTGAGATTTGGAATCTTAGAGGCTGGTGCATATGGAGTTTCTCAATCCCGTAAACGAGCATTCATTTGGGCAGCTGCACCAGATGAGATTCTTCCAGAATGGCCTGAGCCAATGCATGTCTTTGGTGTTCCAGAGTTGAAGATCCCATTATCTGGGGGTGCCCATTATGCTGCTGTTCGTAGTACTGCAAATGGTGCGCCTTTCCGTCCCATCACTGTGAGAGATGCTATTGGCGATCTTCCACCAGTGGGCAATGGAGCCTCCAAGTTGAACATGGAGGTAATGGGAAGCAGTCAAAGCAAAGTATATCTCTCTGTATCCCACACAGTGCCATGGTTTGAGATTAAACTCTCATTTTCTTCTTGCAGTATCAAAGTGAACCAATCTCATGGTTCCAAAAGAAGATCAGAGGAAACATGGCTGTCCTAACTGATCACATCTCGAAAGAGATGAACGAACTGAATCTCATCCGGTGTCAGAGGATCCCTAAGAGACCGGGTGCTGATTGGCGTGATCTCCCAGATGAAAAGGTCTTTTTTTTTTGCTTTTACCTTCTTGCTTTTTGGTCCCCAATCTTCTAAGCTTCAGTAAATACGACGATCAAAATTTGTAAATTTTGCTTGAAATGAATATACTTTGCCTTTCTTCTTACATTACTTGTTGGTTCTGTGTCTGTGGCCAGGTGAAATTGTCGAATGGGCAAATGGTGGATTTGATACCATGGTGCCTACCAAACACAGCAAAGCGACACAACCAGTGGAAGGGGCTGTTTGGGAGATTGGATTGGGAAGGCAACTTCCCGACTTCCATCACTGACCCTCAACCTATGGGTAAAGTTGGAATGTGTTTCCACCCTGACCAAGACAGAATCCTCACTGTCCGCGAATGTTCTCGCTCTCAGGTAATCAACCACCTTCTCTCCGCCTTAATACACTTCTCAAATTCTAAGAAACAATTATCTAAGATGTAAACAAAACATTTAGATTACGAGATGTTTGATCTTAGGATATAAGTCTGGCCAGGAAGAGATTCATTCACCACCACCTAACCAAACTTAAACCAAAGTACTTAGGATTTGATGTTTCTGCTGCTGATGAAACTTTTTTACGATATCTTTACGATGGGAAAAAAAACGAACAAACGCAGGGTTTCCCGGATAGCTATCAGTTCTCGGGTAACATACAGCACAAGCATCGACAGATAGGAAACGCTGTTCCTCCACCGCTTGCTTATGCTCTTGGCCTCAAGCTCAAAGAAGCCGTCCAGCCTCAGCTTCAATCCCTGAATCAATAATATCCCCAGAATTTGGTAACTTGTGAAGATGGGGAAATATTTTAAGAGAGATTGAGAAAAACAACAACAAAGAGATAATTGGTTAGCATGTCTTTGTATATAGTCCTCTTTGGCATTTGGAAACTCTCACCCTTCTACTAATAATGTGGCTTTCCCCCCCTTGTTTCATTCATATTCCTTTGCACATTCAAATCCAAAATGGGTATATGTTCAAACCTTAATTTTTTTCTTATAACGGTCGATTTAGAAGGGCAAACGTTACATAAACATTGTTTGGGGGATTGCGTTCCTTTTTTTTTTTGTTAAGGTCTCATGTCATGCAATCGAATAAATTTCTTGCATATTGGTTTTATCTAACCATAACAGATTAGTTTATCATATCAGGATGGTATAAAGAAAATTAATAATTAATATAATTGACATTTCATATTAAAAAACGTGACTTACCAACTAGCAAGTGTTTGAAGATAATTTAAATAATTTTTTTCATGTGAATGTAATTGATTATGTTAGTTCAACATCAAATACAGTAGATGATGTAATGTGTAGTAAAGATTAAAGAAGAGCCATCATGAAAAAAGGCAGGGGACATAACCCATGAACCAATTCCTGTTTTTTTAATTTTCTTTTTTGGCAAAAGCCACATTTAATATTTTTGTAGCAATTAATGGACCCATTCCTACTCCCCCTCTCGTCTTTCTATGTTTTGTTAAAAGAGGGATTTTTGAATATATATATTTTTTTAAAAATTAAATTAATTGAATATAAATTAAATCCGGATAACACAGAAGTTTGTTTCAAACTGTAAACTTCTTTTAAAATAAAAAATTATATTTAAATATAATTGTATATTATTTAAGATGATTGGTGTATATTTTGGGTCGAACCATTTCTGCTTCACATTCCATCCGAAATTACATGATGGACAATAATTTCAAATCAATACAATAACAAAAGTCTCAATACCGTCAGCATTAACAACAACACAATTGCATACTTTTATCAGATTCACATACTTTTAATTGCATAAATTTGAATATTCTTTTGTTCAATTTCTTTTACAATTTCATCTCGTCCGTCTTTAAAAAAGAACCAAGCACAACTTTAGAATAATGTTTGACTAGATGCATATATATATATATGTATATATATGTATATATATATGCATGCTTGCTTATATTTTGAATATACACACACACACTTTTCCTTTGGACCCATACACATACATACATACATACATACATACATACACACACACACTTGAATATATTTACATGCATACACACTCGCGAGACGTGACACATAAAGCTAATGAAACAGCTCAGTTTGGCTAACAAAGCCAAGAATGCTTAACGCGTGTGGTTTTCTTCCATTTACTTTCAAGTAATTCACCAATTTCCTTGAAAATATATAAATAACAAATTAGGGTAAAAAAATATGTAACCATTCCCTTTCCAGAATATAATTAATTACAAAGTTAGTCAATCACCCATTTCTAGTTACGTACCACAATATTAGAAAACGTGTGTCAAGCTTAGATTGGTCCACACAATCTTATATTGATTACTTAAAAAATTGGGATCTATAACTATGAAAATGATTTCATATACATACGTACATTTCGAAACCAAGAGTTTCATTTTTCATTATCATGGTATTCAATCTTACGTTTAACTCATTATATATTCAAATGATTTCAAAACACATATAACCAAAATTTTAATTTTACGGTTATATGATATTCGACTAATATAAGGAGTTGTCAACTTTAAACCTTTAATCAAATTAATGGGCACACCAAAATTATTTCCTTGGAATAAAAAAAGCAGCGGTTTCCATGCTCAGAAGGAAATATATTTATTGCTTTTCAATATCATCAATAAAGTAAATGAAACAAATTAAAAAAGCTAACCATAAAGAAAACCCCCCACAAAAAAAAATAATAAATATGCCCATATCTTGAAATATAATAATACGAACCACCAGTCTTATAACTTCCACACCAAGCAGCACCTCTCTCTCTCTCTCTCTCTCAAAACCCTAATTTCATTTCCTCTCTCAAACTCTCTCCTCTGAAACACAAACCAACACTCTTTGTGCTCTGAAAATGGCAACGAAAGAGACCAAACCAGAAACCAAGAAAACAGAACACAAGAAAGCTCCTGAAGCCAAAGACCCTCCTCTTCCTCAGGAGCAAGACAACCTCCCACCTCTTCCTTACAAGGTAGTACAATACCCCTCACATGCATATACATACACCCATATACATATATATATATATATATATATGTACTTGGATAGGTTTGTAAGTATTTTTACACGTATGTCAAGATTTGGGTTTGTGTGTTTTGGTGGTTTTGTATTCAAGATTCTATGCAGTTTCAGTCCTTTTTTTTTTACAGCAAAGATTTTGATTTTCAATGGGAAAAAAAAGACCCATCCTTTTTTTTTCTCCATTTATGCAGACGTGCAGTTTGAGAGTGTCCATTCACTGCGAAGGCTGCAAAAGAAAAGTGAAAAAGATCCTCACAAGCATCGAAGGTATTTTTATTCATAACTCTCTCTAATTTATAAGGGTATTTTCGCCATTTATATAATTTTCAAAATTTTGCATTAAAGTTTCGAACTTGTGTATATTTACATTTTTTTTTGCCTTGAATACTTGAATGATACCAATTGTTCGTACTATTTTTTTTTCTTCTTCTTGTGAATCATTAAAGTTTTGAACTTTTTTTCTTCATGTTTTGATTTTGTGTTTTTTAAGGGGTGTATAAGGTAGATATTGATGTGAAGGAGCAGAAGGTGACAGTGATCGGAATTGTCAAACCGGAGATTCTGACGAAGAAGCTTCTCAAGGCCGGTAAACTCGCCGAGATCTTGCCGGAAAAACCCGACCCGAAAGAGTCTAAACCGGAAAAACCAAACCCGAAAAACGAAGAGAAGAAGAAGACACAGAAGAAGGAAGAAATAAAAACCCAACTCTCAGACGACGGAGATGCCACCTCCGGCGACGGGAATAAAACTGGTTGCGGCGAAGAACTGGAGACGGGTAAAATCGGCGCCGGAAGTGACGAGGTTGTTAAATCCCAAGCCGGTGAGGAAACTGGGAAACCCGGTGATCCGGTTAAGGAGGTGAAGACCGAAGATAAGGAGATTGTCACCGGAGCAGCCGGTGATCAGTCACCTGCGATGGAGGAGACCGGTGAAGCTAAAAAGGCTGAAGCTGGTGGAGACAATGGCAGCGGCAGTGGCGGTAAAAAGAAGAAAAATAAGGGGCAAAAAGGTAATAAAGCTGAGAATTCCACCGATACACCTGCCCGGACTGGATCACCCCCACCGAATCCGGACCGTCCATATGATCAGATGGAGGGGAATCAGATGATGACCAATAATATCCCGCCACGTCACCATATGTATGCTTATCCACCGAGTTACTATGCACCGCCGCCGCCGCAGAATCCACCGGTGGTGTACGGCGTGAGCTACAACATAACTCAGCCACCGGCGAGTGTGTACGGTGCATCGTATTATACGTCGCCGTATTCGTATTCGTACATGCACCCTGGGTTTCTGCCGTCCGATCAAAACCCGCACCCATCTCGACCGTCGGATTCGTTCGAGCTGTTCAGCGACGAGAACCCTAACGCTTGCTCCGTCATGTAAAGGGGGGGAAGTGATGGAATTACCAAAATGGGTCTCTAATGCTTATACACCTTGTATGAGTGTAAGGATATTTTGGTAACTTAAGTTATATACGTGACGTGAGTGTGTTTGGAGGGTTTAGGTAATTTTTAATATTTTTAATAAATAGTTTTTTTATAATTATTTTAGCTTTTGTTTAATAATTTAGTAATTCAGCTTTTCCCTAAAGCTTTTGCTTAGTTGTAAGGGGACACTATGATGTGTAAAGTGTAGAAGCTTATTTGGCATTTATATTTTTGTTTGCCATATTACATTATAAAAAAAACATAATGTTTGTCCCCTAAAACATTAATGGAATATTGATATAACAACCAATTAACTTTCAAATCCTATTTCATTAAAATAAATATTGGTGTGACACTTGGAAAGTTTAATTTTAAACAGTAGAAAATAGAATTACTTTAATATAAATGTTGAAAATTGGATCGAAATTTGTGAAACTTTGATCATAAATTCAGATGTCCGGTCGCTCTTCTATCGATGAGCTTAAAAAATTGTGATTTTAACTGTTTTAAACTCTAATTTCATTGTCACATGTATTATCTAAATTGATGGCGTATGTTTTAATACTATGTTCTGATTTTTAGAAAAAAAAAACTTGTACTATTAATATATATATATATATATATATATGATTTACTATAGATATTGATGTTTAACTTACTGAACTAGGAAAAATAATTTTTAAAATACTATTAATAATATTTAAATTTGTATTAAAAGAATGGAACAGAAAATCTTACCACATTTTCACACTAAAACAACAAAGAATATCATTCGATATTTCGTACTCTATTATGGCATTTTGTTTTAAACTATTATAATTTAGTTCTTTTATTAGTAATTTTTTTTTCTCGCAGTTTTTATTTTTATACAATTTTTATCTTCTTTATCCTATAAATTTTTCTTGGAAAAAAAAAGTATTTCCGTGATGATATTTTTTTTGCTGCTAGTTCGTTTAAAGATTTATATGAAAAAATAAATAAATTTATATTGTTTGTTTTTTTCCCTCCTATCATTTTTTTCTATTTTATTAATTTTATTTCTGTCACCTCTTTGATGACATTGCTTTTTATGTTTGTACGAAGCCAATTATGGCTTCGATACGAGAGAAAATTGCATTGCTCAAGAAAAGTAGGGACTATGAGGAACGGTTCATATATTTTCATATATATATATATATAATATCATATGCTTATTTATTTATTATTTATCTTGTGACACGAGGAAACTGAAAAAAAAAAGTTTCCATCAACTTAGACTAGTATTTTGGGACCATTAGAAAAAGAACTAACCTACCTTTAAGTTGTGATAAAAATTTTGGATTTACTTTATATTTTTGTTTTATTACTTTAATTTTCAATTTTGTATAAAGTAGACTTTTTTTATTTTCGAGTTTGGTTAGTTTGGTTTTAGCTTTTATTTTATAAAAATATATACTTTTAAATTTTTTTGTTGCATTTAGTTTTTCAGTTCAATTTTAATATGATTAATTATATTTACGTAAACATTAACATAATTTTAGATTAGATTGTTGGTGTAGTATCGAGATGTCTACCCACTTGTTAGTTAGCCTAAAAATCATGATTTTATAAACTTTTTTGTAACTTCCAATATTTACCCCAAAACATTGTGAAAGCTTGCAATATCTGTTTCTGTTGTTAATCAAACTGAACACTGAATTAAAAATACGTGCTAAATCATTCTCTTGGTAACATTTTAACATTTTCCCCTAAAATTGGCATTATTTGAATAAATATGATCATTTCAGTCTCTAGACTAATGTAACTATTTATGTTGTAACCATAGTTTTGCAACCCCGGATTCATTTGATTATTTCTATTTGCCAACAAAACAATCAATGGCAAGGGATATTATCAAAAATATCATCCATTTGCTATTTTGACTTCAAGATATATCCTTCTCTAACTGTGATCATATAACCCAAAATATAATTTTGGTAATGGCATAACGTTAAATTTATAATAATCACACCCCTTCATTGTATTCATACTTTATATATCTCACTAATCATTTGATAAAATAGCCAATGAAAAGTATTTTTGATATAATGTACGTTTGTAAGGGTAGGAATATATAATCATAGTTTTTTAATTTCCAAATTCCAAATTGTGAACAAAATCCAAAAGTAAAACTACAATTTTCTACTTAAAGGGTTCTGATAATTTAAAAGACTTGGTACAGAGTGTACGGAATGAGAATCTAAGCATAGTAGTTCAAGCTTGCCTTCTTCTTGGCTTGTACTTGAATTATACCTTCATTGAAATCTTCATGGTTCACCTGAACAAAAACACCAATCCTTCATTACCGCCTCAATTACCTATTTTTCACACGAAATAGAGAGAGAGAGAGAGACCTCGGTGGCATCGCGGCGGAGAGCGAGCATGCCTGCTTCGACACAGACAGCTTTGAGTTGAGCTCCGTTGAAATCTTCAGTAGATCGAGCAAGCTCTTCGAAATTAACGTCTGGATGAACATTCATCTTCCTCGAGTGAATCTGCAAAAGTCATCGTCAATACGAATAAACAAAACAAATGTATAAAGCTCCAGTATATGCAAATGAGATTGAATATGGATGTGCAAGTGACTCCGATATTCGCCTAAACATAGTACAAATGCTCCACAGGTGAAACATGATTTGCAGACTACTGTATAAATTTCATTAACATGGATCATGAACTTTATAAGATTGGGAAAGTTTTTAAGATTTTATAGTGGCTGTCGCAAAAGGAAAAACGATGGGGCAAAAGGACAAAACCTGCAAAATCCTGGCTCTTGCTTCTTCAGTAGGGTGTGGGAACTCGATTTTACGATCCAAACGACCAGAACGCATAAGGGCAGGGTCCAATATATCAGCCCGATTGGTCGCTGCAATAACCTGCGTTTCGAAAATTCTTAGGTAAGAAGGCTGAATAAATGGATATATCCTTTTTTTTTGTTTCTCCTGTCAGTATGGATGAACCTTGATGCGATCATGCTGAACCCATCGAGCTGATTGAGAAGCTCTAACATTGTCCTCTGCACCTCACGATCTCCGCTAACTTCACTGTAACTCGTGATGAAATTGGCAGTAAGAAATTTAAAGAAAATCGAACAGGAAATTACAGATATAACCGATAGTATGATGTGGCATCAAATATAGCGTATACCTATCGAAACGCTTTGTTCCAATTGCATCGATCTCATCAATGAAAATGATGCAAGGGGCTTTCTCTTTTGCAAGCTGGAAAGCATCCCGGACAAGTTTTGCACCGTCTCCAATGAACATCTATATGTAAGAGTACATGTGTTATTTTCCATTTACATAATGTTATGGAGACGATATGAGTATAAGTTGAGATTGAAAGGGTTTTTATACCTGTACAAGTTGCGGCCCTGCCAATTTCAAGAAAGTGGCATTTGTCTGAGCTGCACAGGCTCGTGCCATCAACGTTTTTCCAGTCCCAGGAGGACCGTATAAGAGGACCCCTTTCGGTGGACGGACACCCAACTTTTGGAAGCGCTCTTTATGGGTCATAGGGAGCACAATAGCTTCTACAAGTTCTTGTATCTGTACGAGTGATAACAATGTGAAAAATGGTACCACATATACTAAAAACAAAGATGAGAACAGGAAAAGTAATCAACTTGCCTGCTTTTCTAATCCTCCAATATCATTGTAGTCTTCAGTCGGTTTCTCATCAACCTCCATTGCTTTTACTCTGGAATCGTACTCAGACGGCAAAGTGTCCAGAATTAAGTAACTATCTTTGTTAACCCCGACCAAGTCGCCAGGCTTCAAGGTGTCGGGATCGACAAGCCCGATGACAGGGAGAAAGATGGTCTGAAAAACAAGATGAATGGCATGAGATACACGAGATCTATGTTTCCAAGATTCATACACAGATCACATCAGTAACAGCAATTTATCCACTGGTAATTCATTAAATGTTAATCTAAGATAAGAGAACATATTAGCTTACCTGACGAGTGGAAGTTTTCAAAACAACACATTTTCCCTTTCTTTGCGAATCAAGATCAATATTAGCCCCATCTTCCTCTGCATCATCCTCAGGGTTCATCTCCAAAATCTGCCAAACAAGGATTCTCAATCAGAATCTGATCTGCTGCCAAACAGGGATCCATCATGAAATTCTCATGATACAATGTCCAAAATAAGAAGCAAAGGAGGCTATCACCACATTCAAAAAGCTCACAAGGCAACATGGACACGGCTACTCGACTATTTCTAACAATCATCACAGAGAATCAACTCAGAACCCATGTCATACATAAACGAAACAAGAAACCCAGCACAAAGCACTCAAATCGCAGTGAGTAATCAAAGCAAACAGTCACTAGAAGTACCTCGACGATATTGCCAACCAAGTAGGGCAGCTGTTTGTTGAGCTTAATCTTCTCCTGGTTCTCCTTTATCTTCTCCTTGATTGAATCCAAATCCAGGTTTGTTCGTTGTAGTTCTTCCTGAAACCAACTCAATATTTTAGTAATGACATCAAAATTCAAAGAATTTCAGCCAACAAGGAATTCTTAGTATTCGGAGAAAGGACCAGAAATATATTTGCGATTTTTTTTAATCATGGGCATTAAAAACCGATGCAAAAGCATACCAATCAGGTGATAACAATAACTTCAAACACCCCTGCAAACAGAATCTAATCTTGAATCCGGAATTATGACATCCTTGATTTCACGGAAGTAAAATTAAGTTCAAACTTCCATGAATTAAAAAAAAATAACGGGATGGGATCAGAATTCAGAGCATATAACCCATAATCAGAGTTTCGACGATCAAATGGTAGCGGGGAAATGGCGAAGTGGATGGAGCGAATCTAATCGTACGAACTAACTAACAGGATGAGAACGAATCAGGAGCAAGTGGTGGATAAAACCCTAGGCAGATAGAGAGAGAGAGAGAAAGACAAAGACCTTGAGGATGCGATTCTCGTTGTCGAGGAGACGAGAAGCTCTGACGATATCTTCAGTTGACATGGAAGAGAGCTGGTCTTCCTCGAAGCTCGTGTCTTCCGCCATCGCCGTCGCCATCCTCCAGAATCAGCGTGTAACCTTTGAGAGAGAGTCTCTGAGGGAGAGCAACGAAGAAAAGAATGCTTTGGCTTTTGGACGAAGAAAACAATTTCCCAAAATTAATAAACTTTTGAATTTTTAGTTTTTTATTTTACTTTATTTTTTCCGTAAAGGTAATTGTTAAATTTATAATTCCATGTCTGCATAATCTAATTACAAGACAATCCATTACCTTTTCTTTTATACATAAAATTTTAGAAGTAGATACTGGATTCGATTATATCAAACCAATTAATATTTATAACTAAAAACCGAATTCAGTATGAATTGGTATTAAAAAAAATTAAACCGGATATAACCAGACCAAAACCGGAAGACGAGAGGTCGTCCATCCCCAACACACAAACATAAATCTGTCGAATTCGATTGGGACTGATGAAGAATAATAACTGCTCAGAGCAACTAGTGTGAATTAGAGGGAGTATTATAGTATTACACGATACAGTTCAAGTCACTGTGGGGGAATACAGACTGCAGTTGAAGACTTTTCAAAATCTGGGGATTTTATTTTGTAACATTATGGGCAGATACTGTCATCTCCCGATGCGCCTTTTGATTTTGATGCCTCGAATGATCTGAACCAAAAACCGAAATATCCATCCCTAATTTCTAACGGTAAAAATTGCCGGAGCCGATGAAATTCTCAAGCTATCGAGAAATATTTTCCTGCAAACGATACAAGAGCAAGTACCGACAGGCGATATGAAGGGTTTCACTTACGGCGATACGATGTCGAGAGAGCTTGAAAACTAGCGCCGTTCCGGGATCAATTTCTTATTCTTGTCCGAAATAATCTTGTCCTCCCCACTCCCGAGAACCTGTCGGAAACAGTGCTTATGTTTTCAGTTCTGCATGCAAACTTATGAAATAATCTCGAAACAAACACTCTACAACTTTGTAAGAATCAATCGAAGCCGGTGAAGAAAAAGGTTGCAAAAAGGCTAGAAAATTCACAACAATGGCAAATGAGCCCATCACTTCTCCTCCCAAATCTAATACATGTAATCTTACTACACTCACCATGTAATGTCCAGCACTAGATTCTAAGGAAATGAAGAATAAGAATCCACCAGGTAATGCCCAAACAATCTCACGTTTCTCAAATTCGGATAGAAACATGTTTTTCTTTGTTAACACGGTTTAAATCGATGGGACATAGAGGTTTAATATAAGGTTTTCTTTTCGAAGATGATATTTCCATATATCACTGATACTTTAATTTAGAAACATTACCAATGTTTTCTTTCCATTACGCAAATAAAACACCAGAACAGAAGCTAAAAAGAACAGCACAAGGCATTGTTCATTGACAACACCAACAGGCAGATATAGCAATCTATAGGGCCAAAGAATCACCTTGTCAATGACTCCAAATTCTTTAGCTTTTTGTGCATCCATGTAATACGGCCTTTTCATCACGTTAGCTACAGTCTCGATAGACTAACCGACAGAAAAAGATGGTCGTTATCATCAGTAATAGAATTCTTCAAATTCAAAGTTATAAACCTAGTTTTATAATTCTCACTCACGTTTCCCGTGTGCTTTGCCAAAAGTTCCACTAATACATCCCTGTTTGTCATTACCTGCAATAGAAAACAAGTAACCCATTTTGATGAGATGCTAAGCAAATGATTGATTGAAGAGATTCGGTGAGAAGCTCTCCAACAGCCTAACCCTTTTTCCAAATTATCATGGAAACATAATACAACAATGGATAAGTAACAAGATGAGATGAAAAATCTTCCAGTTGGGGCGAGACTTCAGTCCCATGAAGCATAAGGAAGAAATAATCGAACCTCTTTGGCGCGGATCAGGACGTCACTGGCAGGCATCAAACCGGAAGAAGGCGCACGAGGCTGTTGGATCATTGCTAAGACGGAGATTGAAGCAAACATTTGAGAGGCTTAAATTATCAAGAGGGGGTCATCCAGTTGAGAAAACACGATTATTGTGTACCTTTTGAATGTGGCATCATAAACCGCTTGCCCTTAGTGCCGGATGAAAGCAATAGACACGCCTGACCTATAGCTGCTCCTACACAGACCGTATGTATCTGCACAAGCAAGCACAAAATGCATTTCTCCGTACTTATAAGTTATAACAACAATCAGAGAAATTTCCTCTACTAAAACCTATTACTTGGTAACGTTATGTTATATAGGCTTGTAACATTACCTCATTTTCCATCTGCATCAAAGAATCATAAATCGCAAAGCCTTCTGTTTCCAATCCAACCTGTTGAATAAATTTGTGCTGTGAAATTAGACTAACCCAAAACCAGGTATAGACTATGCAACATAGTGTTCTTCAAACGCTTACTGTCTCGCCGTCATCACGAGTAGTCCCTGTGGAATTTATATAAAGATATATGGGCTCCTTAGAATCCGACCATTGGAGATACATTAGCTCCGCAATCACAAGCTCCGTCACGGCCGGTACCAGCTGAGAACAAAACCCATCAGCAACAAAGCGTCCTATATTCTATTCAGACAACAAGGGGAATCCAATTCAACGGATTGAAGAATTTACAGGCATGCCGATGTAAACAATCCTCCCATCGAGAAGCATAGATGGCAAGTCTGGTGGAGCGGATCTTCGTCTTCGTCCGCCATAAGACACTGATCTTTCCACCTATTTCAGAATTCAGACAAAAGATTACTTCTCATGGAGCATCAGAGCAGCGAAAGCTAACCATATGCCCAAAAGTGAAACAATTATGTCAAGAGTGAAATATATCTTTCTCCATAACAATCTCTCTCCCAACAAGAGTTTGAAGTCTCCTTTGAATACCCAGATAAGGGCAAAAGCAGAGAAGAAATCAAAAAATCCATATACGAATCTATGAGCACATAATCATGAATTTCAATCGGTGTATATGCGCGGAAACTGAGAGAGAGTGAACGAGAAGAGCTTACCTGAGCAGGAGAAGACATAGCCTGGGGAGACTCGAAGAGGTCCAGATACGGCGGAGTATCCGAGTTCACCGGCCGATTGAGAATCTTCTCCGGAGATTTCTCGGCAACGGAAGCAAGCATCGAGAGAAACGGGTCCTTAGGGTTTATCGGAGGCATGGGAATTTTGGCAACGGATTTCGCGCTAAAAGCAGCACAGCGAATGCGAAAACTCTTGAGGTTTCTCCTCCCTAAAGAATCCGAGGAAGATTGAAAAGCGGAGGACGAGTACGGAAGCAGAGAAGCCATGGACGCTTGCAAGCAAGAAGACGCCATGGAAGAAGAACACTCGAGGACCATCGTTCACAAAAAATGCACCGAGTTGGCCAAAAAGATAGGAGAAACGGGTCGGGTCTCGGGTTAACCCGATTTCGATAGCTCAGTTGGAATCAAAACGGCGTCGTCATAGTACAATTATAAGCAAAGGAATTGAATCCGACAATCTCGGGTTGACCTGCTTCGATGACCAAACATATAAAACGACGTCGTTCTGCTTTATTCAAATTTCATCATAATTAAAAATTATGGATTTGTTCAGGGGAAACTCTCCGAAATATTATGATTTTATTAGAATTTCAACGCAAACATAAAAGAAACATTTAATGAGCCAAAAAAAATTCGTGTTGTTCTAATTTTTAAAAAAAATAATTTTGTTGTACTTTATCAACCAAAATACAAAATTTTAATTATAATATTTAAAATTTTCGTTCCACCTAGGAAACCTTGTGATTCAAAATTTCAAAAAAAAAAAGAAGCATAAATGCCATTTAGAAAGGGAAACGGTATATTATGAATCAAAGCAGAATAGTTTTTAAGTTTGGATACTCACGGTCGAGATGGTATGAACATAAGTGTAATACGCATGCATGCATACATATGAAATTATAAATCCTAGCGTCAATACAAAAAGTGAAAAGCAACTCCATAACATCCGTCAATGCCAACAAGAGTCTACTAAAACTCACCACTAGAGCCTCCGACCAGACAAGACACGACACAAAAGACCACAAAAACTCAGTTCAAAATCTAAAATCATAACGGTAAGACTCAATACCGGAATGTCCCGAGGAGCAAGAGAGACTGACTGAGTGTCTGCCGACGCGGAATGATGCCGCATCCGTCCCTCAATCTGATTTCGCCTGCATAAAACATCGAGATGCAATACCGTTCAGGACGAAAAAGACGAAGAGAAATCAAAAGTGAAGGGCTATTATCGCTTAAGGACAGTACAGAGGGAGATCGGGATCGGGATCGGGATCGAGACAAGCTGCGACTCTTCGATGGGCTTCGATCCTTTTCGATATTCTGTGTAGTTTTGGTTTGGTCGAGGGAAGGGGGAAATAACAGATTAGTGACATAACAAGCTCTAATCAAACCCGGCAATGCAGATACCCGAAAGCAAAGGAGAAGATAATTCAGATTTAGCTTCTCTGACTTACAGGCGAAACTGGAGATTTTGATCTGGATCTCGACCTCGACATGGACCTGCAAATAAAAAAAAAAAGGAAACCACCTCGTGACAACGGTTTCTCACATGGCCAACCGACCACTTCTCACCAACTCTGGACCACTTAGAATACAATTAAAAAACCAAGAATTTCGTAGAAACGAATGAAAACCAAACAGTAGTGATCCGATTCCTATATTAGCTGATACGTGATGAGTAGCGGACCGAAAAGAGAAGCTAAAAGTTCATGATAATCCGGCATTTGTAAATCCAATCCAAGAATCCATCTAGATGACCCATGTAGTAGTCCCTAAGATCCAATCCCCAGCTCGCCGCAGAGAGCCAGATCTAGAAAACAAACAAGGGGAATTCATTCGTAAACATTGTATATGATGATGGACAAACCCCTCCACAAACCCATAATATGATCTCTAGCCCCACAGATTGCAAAAGAAGATCTCACAACACAGAGAAGCATACTTATCGGTATCGGTTCGGATGAAAAGAAGCCAGAAAAAAAAAAAAGAAACTTTCTCCATATTTGATCCAAAATGAACAAGCTAGCTGCTCAAACAGATTTATCTGGAAATTAGCAACAACAAACCTAACGTATGGAATGAGATCTCTACTAGAGTAGGAACCACGACACAGAACCAAAGCCAAAACAACCATTCATTCTCATCAAAGTTTGCGCAAGACATAATTCCAATTTTCAACATGTCATCAAGAAATGAAGTTCACGTTTTACTACATGTTCAGAGACTCTTATTTTGATCCGTTGATTAATACTATAGAACAAACAATGTCAGATTCCATTGAGATTGATCGTGCGTTGTGATTCTGCTTTGCATTTTGCTGCTGCTGAGAGAAGATGGAGGATGGGCAAGCTCTCGAGCTCGAAAATAAAAGGAATTTTGAGAGGTTGGAGAAGAAGATGAAGACTCATAAAGACCTCAAGAAGAAAAAGAAAAAGAAAGCTAAGGTATTGATGGTTATCTTTCGATTTGTCCTGAATTCTGTTCCTATCAACTGATTATGGGAAAGAGAACAAGAAAGAGACCTTGACAAATGGACAAAACTCAAATCATCTGTTACCTATAAGCCACTTGACAAGTTACACACAATAGAACTAAGATGCCATTACTATATAGTTAGAACACATCTATTGCGATGATACAGATCCATTAACCCATACCTTGAGACAGAGCGAGCTGGTGAACGGGACCGGGAGCGGGAACGTGGAGAAGCAGATCGAGCAGGAGAAGCACTGCAATGCGTTGAAAAGCCGACCAATCAGCACAAATAAGTACAAAATCAGCAATGCCAATTTATTCTGTGCTTTTCAAGATCTCTGAGAGAAAACATAACAGACCTCCTGCTCCTGCTGCTATAGCTTCGACCACGGCTTCGACTCCGGCTTCTGCTTCTTGAATAATATGGGCTACGACTCACACTTCTTGAGACGTATTCTCTCACCTAAAAAGTATTGGTATTCGCAAATTGGGATGAAGGTAGAAGCAAAAGATAATACAACACTTGGAATCTAATATTGCATACCCGTATATAAGCTCGAGAGAAAGCATTCCGAAACTCAGAGTCATCAAGTTTCCTGATCTGTTTGAATAAATATTGAAAAGAATCATTAAATCCAACATTTTCCTTGAATAAGCTTAGCCAACGATCTCATTTTAAGATTCCAGAAAAACTTTGGTGGAATGAACCAACTCACCGCGTATTTCATATCATCATAGTTGGTGTAATCCACTATCCCCATCATGCCTGCAAAAGAAAAGTGATTTTTTTTGGAACAAATGTTACAGTTCTGATCCCTCCAAACCCATGAAAATAACTCTAGCCCTATGTCAGTTTTCTCCTCTGGAGACACCAACATATCAAAGCTTGATTTCCCATAATCAGCAACCGAATTCAGATAACATCTCACCTCCTCGCTCACGGAAAACTTCAGAAAAGCAGACATCTCCAGCTTTGCGCATGTGATCCTGACCATCCAACAGACGCCAATCACTAGAAGTTCAACCACAAAGCTAACTAGAACACAGAACCAAACATCTGAAGCAGAAGCAGAACATCCTCACCTTAAGGTCTTGCCATGAAGCAGACCGTGGTAATCCTGACACAAGAACTGCATGGATTGGGAAATGACATTAAAGGTGAATGATTTTCTGAAACCCATGATCTTCCAACTTTGCAAGGGTCTAAAATGCAAGGAGAATCAATCATATGCATACCACGATACTCGGACCGCCTTGGAGGTGCACGGCTACCACTGTAACTGCTGTACCTATCCACTGACGAAGAACCTCTTCTACCACCGTGAGCAAGTTCAACCTGAAAAACAACAGATAAAACATCAGCAACATCTGATAAGACAAAACATAAAGGACAGAACAGAACAAGTTTGCAGAAGCAGACATCAGTGAGTTACTAACCCGCAACCGACACCCATCGAAATTATACCCATCACGTCCCCTAATGGCATCCTCTGCATCCCGGGGATCTTCGAACTGCATCAAACATATGCCTCGGTCATGAAATATGTTAACTTTTGTCAGAACAAATATCTTATACGTGCAAATGCATGCATAAGATACAATAAATCCCTAGCTAGTGACAATCATACATACCTCAACAAAGGCATAACCAGGAGGCCTAGGCGGAATCTTCAAATCAATGTCAACAATGGGCCCATACTGCAACAAAAGATTCCATACGTAGATCAAAATCTCATGTAACGAACACCTCAAAATTCCAGCCCAACCTTAATGACAAATAGAATATGAAATCATGAAACTGCCATTTCTGTGAATCCATCGTTCAAGTAAAACCACATATTACATACCCGTGTCACATAAACCCTAGATAAATTAGAAAAAATTACAGGGCCCAGGAAAAAATTCTTCGTAAAAGATAAAGCGATTGAAACCTTGTAGAAAATATCTTCAACTTCTTTCATGCGAATGTCACCAGGCAAATTCCCCACGTAGATCGTTCGGCTCCATCGGCTACTCATCTGAAATCCCAACACAACACAAAAGAATCAACAATAAATTTCGACAATTTTCCATAAAGGCGCGATTCTCAATTCGAACAACTAATTAAACCCTAAACTATGATAACTCACTTTCGCAGCTCAGAGAGAGCGAGAGAGAAAGAGAGAAGGGACAGGAAACGTAACGTAGATTGTTCTTGAAGAACAAGAATTGTACGAAGTGGAGGGGACTAAAAATGGAGATAGATTCGATCAAGTGTTACAGCGTGTAAAGTACTTTACCATGCATCTTGATTTCTAGCCGTTCGATCAGCCCACGTCAGATCTGAGTTTGGGCCGGTTCTTGGACCGGAACGATGAGCTACTTTTTCCGTTGGACCTTCACAAATGATTTTGCGAAATTTCCTGTGATAAAATTCAATGGACGGCGGTGATAATTGTTTTTCACAAAAGATGACGTGTTTTATTTAATTTTGATCGTACTTTTTGCTCTAATTAAACATGGATGGTTAAATCCTCTTTTGTAATATTCTAATTATATTATTTATGCTCGACGAAACATGAAAGGTTATTGTAATTTATAATCGAGTAAGCTTAAGCCAAATTATCCTCTATTATTATGTTCTGTTTGAGCCCACTAAAGCGAAAATAAAATATCTTTATTTCTCATTCAAATTCAATGTATGGCTTGATGAAAATTATAATCGAGCAGTTTGAAGTTTTTTTCGCGTCAATTTTATTAACTCACAACTATGGTTTATATGAAGAAAAAAAAAACTCTAAATGAATTTGTAAGGAGTATGGTCAACATATCGAGTTCAATTTTTTATCCTTTTATCTGTCATCTGTCAATTACGGTTGATTTACCTTTTCCATATATGTGGTAAATTCATACACATAAACATAAAAGGAAGTTTATTCAACCAACGCGTACAAACGGTAACCGGTAAAGTTTCCACGATGTAAAAAAATTAGGATTTACATCTCGGATTTTGATTTTTTTAATTTAATTTATAATATATATATATATATATATATATATATGTAAAAATATACTTTATTCAGTTCGTCATTTGTTCCGCTTCGAATTACATCTAATTTCGATTTGATTTGAAAAAAAAAAGATATGTATCAAGTTTTAAATCAAATTGGATTCAGATATATTATTGGATTTGATTCGTTTTTGGCTCAACGAAATTTAAACAGTCGCACAATTACAAAGACCAATAGCTAATTAACATGAAATCTCAAGCGAATGAATTGGTGGTATATATATATATGCTCCAAGAGACCATTTGATGGACATAGAGAATTGAATGTTGAAGTCATATAATCGAAATCGAAATAAAATGACTTTTTTAAATTAATATCATCTTTCATAAAAAACTAAATAAAAATCTAATAAAATTTAAACTAAATCAAATATTGATATAAAAATGTATTAATTTTTATAAAACGTTCCTAGCCAAGACTTAACGTCTTGCAAGGTAGGAACGTCATTCCCTATAAGGAGAATATCATCCACGTACAGCACTATAAATACAACTGTGCTCCCACTGACCTTCTTGTAAACACATGGCTCGTCTTCGTTTTGTGAGAAACCAAACTTTTTGATTGTATCATCAAAGCGAAGGTTCCAACTCCTTTAAACCTGCTTCAGTCCATAAGTGGACCTCTGAAGCTTGCACACCATCCTCGGGTTCCTAGGATCGACAAAACCTTCGGGTTGTGTCATGTACACATCCTCGGTCAAGTTCCCGTTAAGGAACGCGGTCTTGACATCCATTTGCCATATCTCATAGTCGTAATACGCGGCTATGGCAAGTAGGATCCTGATGGACTTCAGCATAACTACGGGCGAAAAGGTCTCATCATAGTCAATACCATGAATTTGACGGAATCCTTTCGCCACAAGTCGTGCCTTATACGTGTGCACATTCGGAAAAGGTTCCGAAGGCTTCGTCAAACAGGGAGTATCTCGGACTATATTCGTGAATTTTCCATTTTACATCTTGAACTTAGTGATTTGTCTGACCGAGATGCTTTGTTCCACTTCAAGGATGGACTAAAAGAGTTTGCTCGTCTTGAGGTAAACAGGAGGAATGCTCAAACCTTGGACGAAGCAATAGCTATTGTGGAAGGCTTGTCGGACTACTCGAATTGTCCCAACCAACCTCGGCCCAAGGATGGGAATAGACCTCGACCCTCTCATCAGAATCGGGACAACCACGACCAATCGAGATCCAACAAGCCACACGGATCCGAACAGAACAAGGATCGCTCTAAGCCTCCAAACCCCTGCTACCTATGCGGTGGACCACATTGGGTCGAAATTAAAGTAAAAAACAATCAAATAAAGTACAATTGAAATCTTAAATAATGGAATATAAGTGAAATATCACTGATATACTATTATTGTTTAGTATTTTTTTTTTATAATTAGTATAATCTTGAGTTAGAGTTCTAGATCCGGTAAGGTTCTATCGCCTATGAAGACTTTATAGTCAAAAAAAATATCCCTAATAGTCATATGGTCCAAAATAAAACCCATTTCCGGACAAAATGATTAGGTATTATAATAGTATTACCATTAAATAAATTTTATTTTTATGTGTATTCGGGGAAGACATTATATGAGTAATGAGTCGGATACTTGCATATTATACCATTACCAATAAATTAATAATCAAATTAATTAGGTAATTGTATCTTTCAACTTGATAATACATTAGTTGACAAAAGCGGTTTAAAAGTGGGCATTATCAACGCCTTTATTTGTTTTATCCAATTTCAAAGTATCATTATTATTGTTATTATTTTCTTCTATATATTTAAATAATAGAAACTCTCAAACGCAATTCGATGTTAATATAGAAAAATATATCATTTATATATGATAGGTGAAAACATTGTGTAGAGTTGCTAAATACTGAATTTAATACTCAAAAATAATGTTAGAGATTTTAAAATACATGGCATTTATTACGATTTCAAAAATCATTTTATAAGCAAAACTCAATTTATCGCGATATATAAAATGAGACGAGTGCAATAAATTGTTGGCGGCTAAGAACCTCCTGGGGCACCCAATGTAAATAACCGGAAATCCAGGAACATTTTGTCCAAATGTTGATAAACCTAAGGGTATTTTCGTATTTCGAAGAGAGCGAGGGATGCGATCACGTGAGATCGATTCTCAGCCTTCGATGTTAGACACGTGTCATCCGATCTAAACATCTCCATCATACTCGGGCCCCACCCGTCAAGCTCGACCTTATCCCCGCTTCGTTCCTCTCAAGGATCCCTGTGCCACGTCAGCGTTAGATCGACGGTCAGTATCTCTCCGATCGCCTTTAAATCCCGTTCCCCTTCTCTTATTCTCGGACTCTTAACAAAGCAGTCGTTCCTCTAACGTGCGCCGGGAAAACCATTTCCCTTGTTATCGTGCGCCTTCGTTTTTTTTGTTTGCTAACCTGCGCCCCATCTCCATGGGCTTACTCGACCATCTCTGGGATGACACCGTCGCTGGTCCGCGGCCGGAGAACGGCCTCGGAAAGCTTCGGAAGCATCACACCTTTAGTTTCCGGCCAAGCTCCGGCAATGGTATGCCGTGTTTCGATATCTTACGCCTCTGACTCGGTTTCGAAAACGAATCGTCACAACTGTTAAAAATTTTACATGATCTGAAACTCTAAAATATGGATGATCCGACGATCGATCGGATCTGAGACTGATTCGACCTTACATCGGACTGATGAACTCATCTTTTTTTTCTTCGCTTTTTGTTATTTTTTGTATATACGGTTGTGATTAGATCAATCGGAGGGTGGGAGTGTGAGATCGTACGGTGAGGACTCGCCGGAGGAGGCGGTGAAAGTCACGCGCAGCATCATGATAGTGAAGCCGCCGGGATACCAGGGGGGTTCAGCTCCGGTTTCGCCGGCCGGCTCTACACCTCCGGTTTCTCCTTTCTCTGGTGAGTTTCGTTTACTTTTCCGTATTTGCCCCTCGATCCATGCCTTAATTTCAATCATGCCATTCCTCAAAAACGGGAATATCAGAGAGTGGAACAGTGCACTGTTCAGGGGTATTTTCGTCCATTGCTTGATGTCGCTGGTAGACAAATCTTTCGAGAGGGTAATTTTGTCATTTAACGTTGCATAATGGATGGGATGGATAATGAAAAAGACAAGGTGTTTGTTTGCTCTTATAATGTCTTGCCGGGTGGTAAATGACATTTTTGTCCTCATGTTCACGTACCTGTACTGCATGGGCCTAAACGCTTCTGCATTATTATGGGGAGGACCCATTATAATTTTATTTGCATAGTTATGAAATTATTGTGTTCCCCAAGTTGTCTATACAAGATTAGGTAAGCTGTCGTACAAAAACATACGTGACGGTGACATTAAGTTTCTTGAGAGATATAATATGATCTAATCTTATATCTTTGTCCCTTTTGATCTGTTTTCATTTGGATCACATGGCTAAACATAATTAGTATTTCTGTAGCTGTATGGTCGCAGATATTTGCGGGTTATATAGTACAAATTCGTCTTTTTTCGAGATTGAATTACTAACGATGATGTGAAATCCGAATTGGATGGTGGAGCGGAGGAAATGCAGGAGGGGGGAAGGAACCCTTTCGGTTCAGAAGGAGGTCGACCTCGGACGCATTCGAGAAGGCAAACGACGAGGCTGGACGACCAAGGAGCTCTGCTCCTCCTTACGGCGTGTGACATCTAAGCTAAAAAAACTCTACGCCACCCCCCGTGACAAACAAATGGTAAACTTGTCATTTCACCACGTCCCCCCACCCCCCATGCAAGCTTTTTTTTTTTTTGAGGAAAAAAGAGAGAGACAGGCGTCTACTTGTGATATCTTGCGGTGGGTCTGTCTTGGTTGCTGTGTTTGGTGGTTTTGGTTTTGTGTGTTATGGTGCTTGCTTCTCCTGTCTTTTATGTTTGATGCTATAAAGATGTAATCTTTCTCTTAGGGTTTTGGTTAATGTAATGTGTATGTGTATGTGTATGTATGTACATACGTATATGTAAATTTTGCCTCAATAAATTCAACTTTTTTTTTGCTTCAACTGTCTAAGCTTTGATAGGTTCAAGATTTGATAGAAAGTTTAACTCTTGATTTGGGATCATTCTGCCATTTGAATAAAAGATGACACATGTATGTATATGCGCGTATATATATATATATATATATATATATATATAGAGAGAGAGAGAGAGAGAGAGAGAGAGAATTGGAATATATATGTCCCCGCATACATTTTTAGAGTTTTCCATGATGATCACAAGTGCTACTTTTGGATTGATGCATCCGTAGCAATCACAGTTGAATAAAACCAAAATTAATAAATCGATGAGACTATTACAACACTTGATGAATTAGAGACAATAATATGTTGATATAAATAAATAATAATAACTATATTTATAATTACATATGATTGTGTTATATTATTGGCATGCAGTCGTCCCCCATGTATGAGCCGCTTCATATCCGCCTCCTAGTCCAATGTCTCCACCCCTTTGTCTCTTGTTGCATTCAACGAGTGATTTTTGGCTTATTTATAAAATTATATTCTTGCAACAACAAAAAAAACAGTTTAATACTCAGATTAAATAATCTAAAAAAATTACTTTACTGATGAATTGAATAAATTGTTTTCTATACCATTTATATATATATATGTACTATCACTATTGATTTATTTATTTTATCTCTATTTATTGATAATAATTGATATCAATCATCTTACTTAAAATAACAAATATCAACTTACATAAAAGAACAAATATGTAAAATTTTACGCATAATTGGCTCGTAAAAAGTATGTATTTGTGAGCGAGAATATGTTTAAATTAAGAATAATTATTTCTTTTAATCGGAATAAATTATATATTATCATATTGTAAATAGAATTATTAAAATATCGAATGATTATGATTTGTTGATATAAAAAACAAATTCTAAATAAGTTCAAAGCAAATATAAATTAATTTAAAATTTTATTTTTAAAAATAAATATTTGTTTAATAAAAACTAAATCCAAATGAAATCCAAAAACGGATGGAATCAAAATATTAAAAACGAAATATAGATCCGTCGTACCCGATTACCCGGTGAACCGACCCGACCCGACCCGACCCGTTTTCCGGCTTCAAGACCAATTCTTTCTAATCTCCGAGGAGAAAAAAACCCTTCACTAGTTTCACGATTTCGTACGATCATGTTCAAAAAGTACAAATCTCCTTCCATCTCTGTTCCTTTTGCTTCCTTTTCGACGCTTTGATTCTCAGTCTGTCCGTGTTTCTGTTTTGTTTCGGACGGGCTTATCTGATTTTCGTGTTGGTTTTCCCTATTTCTTCATAGGTTTCCGTCGTCTTCCTTTCTCCCACTGTGTTCGTCCAGTATTTGTGTCTAGTTATGTTGATTGTGTGTTTCTGTGCCGGTTTAATCGCGGGTTTATCTGATTTTCTCGTGATTGTTTCGATGTTTTCGTGGGTCTCCTTTTTCTGTCTGTGTTCTTCAATTGATGGTGGAGTACATGTGTTTGCTGCTGTTTATCTACTTGAATAGGCTAGGGCTCCTGATTTTTCTCAGTAACGTACTCAATGTTGGATTGAAATGAAAATTGAAACTTTTCTTTGGATCACTGTCTCTAGGACTGGATCTTACAGAAATCGGATAATTGGATTTGATTTTGATTGTGTTTTGCTTATTTGTCAATCGTCTTTACATTTGAGAGTACACATTGCTATGAACTGAATGTGTAGAATTAGTCTCGTCGGCATCGAATTTTGATGGGGAGATTGGTTTGTGATTAGGTAGGATTATGGATACTTTTAAAGGAAGAAAATGAATCTGATGTTGTGATTGTCAATCCCAGTTGTTCATTTGAAGGTTATGGGGATGTTTTTTTTCTTCAAGGTTTGGTTGAAACTTGAAAGACTTGATTGTTGACCGTGTTCTTGTTACGTATATGCGTGATACGATTGTTTATAACAATCCGTCGGCAAAGTTGCATTATTGATTGTTATATTTTCCCCAAAAAGCCAAGATCTTGAAGTTCTTAGGTTGTGGATGGACTTGGTTGGAATTCTGTGATATGCTGAGGAGAACATTTTTGTTAGTATTGGTCTCTGATTCAGATACTTTTACCAAATTTGGTTCATTGTGGAGAGTTTTGTCATCGGTTGGATCAACACTAGTTCTTCAGTATATGTGTCTATCGATCTGTTAGAGCAAGCTTAAGCATTCCAGTTCAATCTTATAGAAAACCCATATGTTTCTTTTGATTCTGCTTTCTTCTAGTCTAAATGGAATTTCTACATCGACCCGGCTTTTATATCTACTTTCTGTACCACTGAGGATCTGCATAATGTTGTTTTGTTTTTACTCAGGTTTTCAGCCGAGGAAGTTTCATCACAGAACCAAGTGAAAGCATCTGTTCAACGAAAGATCCGCCAGAGTATTCAAGATGAGGTATAGCTACTGTTTCATTTTTTCTTTCTTTCTCTAAGCTTGAAACTCCATGAAGAATTCATTTCTCTGATTACGTACCCTTATGATTGTCGGTCCATGTCAATGTTGCAGTATCCAGGACTTGAACTAGTTTTGGATGATCTATTGCCCAAGAAGGCTCCTCTTATAGTCGTCAAGTGGTTTGTAGATTCACAATCCTGTTTAGAGTTGGACCGTTTTTCCTCAAGTTTGAGGCTATTTTGATATTCCCAATTACCTCTCTTGTTGCAGCCCGAACCATTTGAGTCTAGTAGTTGTCAACAATGTCCCTCTCTTCTTCTGTATCCGGGACGGGCCATACATGCCAACCCTCCGTCTTCTTCATCAGTGTAATGCACATCTTCTTTTCGACATTGTCCTTGCTATGTGCTTCCACTATTTCATGTCTATACCATATATAATATGATCTAATTTATTGTGAGATTAATATAAAAGTTGTACTGCGGTAACACTGAACTGGTTCAAACACAGTATAGAGCTCAATGTCTTTAACAGAAACTTATCAAACTTCTTCAAGTTTTTTTGGAATTTCCGTGTATTATATTATGTTTTGAGACAGCATATGTTCCTTCAACTGTTACATATGTGAAGGAAGCCTGTAGTAAGCTTTGAATGCTTAATTTTGCAGACCCGAATATAATGAAGAGATTTCAAGTTGATAGAGGTGCCATAAAATTTGTTCTCTCCGGTGCAAACATTATGTGCCCTGGTCTTACATCCCCGGGAGGTGTTCTGGATGAAGAAGTTGAGGCAGAACGACCCGTGGTAATGAAACTAGCTGACCATTAGGAATGTCATTTTTCTCCTCGACCCGTCTGTTTTTACTGTCTCAAACCCATGAATTTTTTTTCTTCTTTCAGGCCATTTATGCGGAAGGAAAGCAGCACGCTCTTGCGATCGGCTTCACGAAAATGTCAGCCAAGGACATGTAAGTCAAATTTTCACCTTACCTTCGGTATTATACCTGGAAGTTACCTGGGATGGATGAACACCCAAAAGAACGAAACTGTGGTTTATTATATTTGGTATGTAATCGATCCGGGAGAAATAGCAGACTTATAGATGGCCTTACCCACAATATACTAAATAATCCATAATGAAATGAAAGTTGAAAGAACCAACATTACACATTTGGTTGATATAGTTATTAAAGTGTAATACAAAATCACAAGTTCTCCCCATAATCACAGCCTTAATTATTCTCCGAATTCCTTCTAGATTTCTTTCAAAGTTACCATGCTGTCATCACTTTTATACTTTGTTTTTCACATTCCCGCATATTCCAAACCTTTAACAGATGGACAAATCGAGAGTCGGTCTATGGTAGTTAGCAGATAAATGAATTTGGACTCTATTATCTTCTGAATCCCTCAGCATGCCTTCTGTTTCTGATTTTGATCTCTTTGTTCAACCAGAAAGAGTATTAACAAGGGAATCGGAGTTGACAACATGCATTACCTCAATGACGGTCTCTGGAAGGTACTAAACCCTTTTTCTCTTCCGTCGTAGATAAACTGCCGTAGCGGAACCGATTCAAGTGTTCTAAAACAATCGATTTTGCTCCCAGTTGTCGGTAAATTGTATATCATTGCGTCTTTTAGTAAGAATTAAAAATGGGTTTTTTGTTTTAGTAGCCAGTTCTTATGTCGTTATATCATTTTGGTCCGGAATAGAGTGGTTATGATTTCCAATGTTACGAAGATTCGAGAATCTCTTATCGATCTGAAACTGAAAATTTAGATATTTTAGATTGTAAGAACTGACGTCGGACAATAGGAACATGGTTTAGAAACAGGAACTGTATACTGAAACAATATTACATCTTCGTCCCGACAAATCTTTGCGCATATAATGATAAAATATGTTGGCATTATAACATCAAATGTGTGATGCTCTGATAATGGCTGCTGCAGATGGAGCGGCTGGATTGAGTTTTGTTGTCTTTTGGGAGCGACTGAGGATCTCTGATGAGTGAGAAGAAAAAGTCTTTCTCCATGTTCTTCTGTGTTCTGTTCTGTTATGAAGCTTCTGTCCTCGCAGCTTTTGCTGGGGTTTGTGTTGTTTCCTCTCTTTTTGGATATTCTATCAACTTTTTTTTTTTTTAATTTTATTTTATTTTTCTCATATGGAAAATTAGAAAACGGGATTTCACATGTTCAATGACCCAAAAACTAAAAATATTGGTTTTTGGGGGGGAAACAATTTATGGGTCTTGGTTATACTTGTGCGCTGTTTTATCGAATTTTTATAACGTATATTTTATTCAGTTTTATATTGTTTTAAATTGTTTGAATCGGGGTTTTATGAGAAAATTACTTATTGTTTTGAAAAATAATTGTTTTCATTTCGTTTTTTTTTTTAATTTTTATAATCACATTTAGCTAATTTAGTTTCTAAAACAAATCATATGTAAGTTTTTTCTTTCTAGTTTTTAGATCATAGTTTTTTATTCCAATATGAGCATATGTATATATGGTATTCGGTTATCTAATGAAATACTCGGAAAAGGAAAATATATTTTTGCTAAAAATGATGTCTAATTTGTGGTCTTTTATATAAAGGCATCTCGCGGTAAACGCACCGTTTTAACGCTTCGTGCGCTTTCAAAACGCCGCGTTTCGAAATTTCGGCCGCGTTTTTGCCTCCGCTCATTCATTCTTTCTCGGACTGTCGAGCGGGCTCGGCCTTCTCTCTCTACCGATAGCCAACAGGCGGGGGATTAGGGTTAGGGTTTTAGGTTTGTGGCGGAGATTCTCTTCTGCTGAATTTGCTAATCCGTTACCAATCGTATCAGAAGAACCTGGTCGTCGACAATGGCGAACAGGACGGATCCATTGGCGAAGAGTATAAGAGGGACAAACCCGCAGAATCTGGTGGAGAAGATTGTGCGATCGAAGATTTATCAGCACACGTATTGGAAGGAGCAATGTTTCGGTCTCACAGCGGAGACGCTCGTCGACAAGGCCATGAAGCTCGACCACCTAGGCGGAACCTACGGCGGAAACCGGAAGCCGACTCCGTTCCTCTGTCTCATCTTGAAGATGCTCCAGATCCAGCCTGAGAAGGAAATCGTCGTCGAGTTCATAAAAAACGATGATTATAAGTACGATTTCTCACTGGAGCCTTTTTCATTTGATTTCGTATGATTTAGGTTGAGAGCTTCGACTAACTTCATCCTAGGTTCGACTGAAGCAAAATTTCTGGTCAGATCATTTTAGTTCTACGCTGTTCATGTGATTAGATCCGATTATAACTATACAGGTTGATTACTGCTATTACTTACGAATTTGGTTAAAGTTTGCTAATTACGTTTTAACGATGTCTCTTCAGATATGTCCGTATTCTTGGTGCCTTTTATCTTCGTCTCACTGGTACCGACATTGATGTCTATCGGTATCTTGAGCCTCTCTACAACGACTACCGAAAACTGAGACAGAAGTTAAACGACGGGAGTAAGTTTTTGTGTTCATTGTCTTCATGTATTCTGCTGTATTACGTTTTGATTAGTGCACTAACCATTCTGTATTCCTTGGGATTCAAATAGGGTTTACGTTGGCACATGTGGATGAAGTTATTGATGAACTCTTAACCAAGGATTATTCTTGTGACATTGCTTTGCCCCGCATCAAGAAAAGGTTTGTACATTTGTTGTGGGCTTCTGTAAAATAAACATTTCGTGTTTCTTTTTTTGTTTCTGTGGGTTTTAAGTTTCCGATTCTGTCACTGTGATGGTAGATGGACACTCGAACAAATTGGTTCTTTAGACCCTAGGAAAAGCGTCTTGGAAGACGATTTCGAGGAAGAAGAAGAAAAGGAGGAGAATGAAGAGGTTGCAGATGGGTCTGAGGACGATAAGGTTGCTACTTCTGTAACATTTAGTATCTGCTTACGGTTTTCTGCTTTCACTAATTGAGCAGCTCTATGTTAATATGATTCTTTGTAATTTTCCTAGGGTTATAACTGTAAGAGTCCTGAAAGGGAAAGGGAAAGGGAAAGGGAAAGGGAAAGGGAAAGAGAGAGGGACAGAGACAGAGACAGGAGACGTGACAGTCACAGACTCAGGTATCGGATGTTATGGCTGAGATATGTTTTCATATACTTGTAGTATGTGTTGATCTGGTAATACTTCTTTCTTATCAGTATGTGACTTACTGTGCTGGAAGCTATTTACTCCGATTTCACATTCGTTCATCCCGTTTGGCATTCTTTCTTATGAATGTCAATAATCCCCCGTGGCATCTTAAGCCATCGGTGGTTGCAATAGCTTCCAAAATTAAATCTTCGGTGATCCTGCCAGGTTTTACTGTACTGACAGTGTGCAGTGAGAAGTATGATGGATCGGACAATTTTACTGTAGTTGACTGTGGTCGATGGTCGCCGTGTGATTATATAAAAGATTTTCTGTCACAAGGGGTTACTGTTTCTGTTTCCACATGATCTAGGTTTCTTGATTCACAGAGATTGTTATAGTGATTTATATTAAGAAAAAGATCTGCTATTCTTTTATGGTTTTGATTTGACGTTTTCTTGTGTATTATGATCAAGATTGTGGTCTCCTGTTCTTGTTTCGTGGTTCTAATTGGGTCACCGTTTCTTTGATCAAGGGCAGAGTAGTCTCCTGTTCTTTAACGGTTATATCGATGTTTCATGATACGCAGAGATCGTGATTATGACAGAGATTATGATCGAGATAGAGACTATGATAGAGACTATGATAGAGAACGTGGGCGTGGTAGGGAACGTGAAAGAGACAGGGACAGAGATAGAGATCGGGAGATGGGTCATTATAGAAACAAGGACAGAGATAGAGATCGAGAAAGGGACAGGGACCGAGATAGAGATAGAGGTCGGGAACGGGACAGGAGAGACAGGGGAAGACGAAGGAGCTGGTCAAAGAGCAAGAGCCGAAGCAGGAGCAGAAGCCGGGATCGGAAAAGACATGGAAACGAGGACGATTCCCGGGACCGAGAAGAACCGAAAAAGAAAAAGGAGAAGAAGGAGAAGAAGAAGGAAGATGGAACCGATCACCCAGATCCTGAAATCGCAGAAGCTAATAGACTCAGAGCGTCTTTGGGATTGAAACCCTTGAAGTTATGAGCAAACACTTGAGAGGGAAGACCCTAAACCGGGTTTGTGTTTCAGTCATACCGGACTGAACCGGGATTGTCGACCGGTTACCGAGATCTTACCCAAAGGTGACTTTTGATCCTTTTGTGTTTGAAGAATTGCTGAGCTAATTTTGTGTTGAGTATTTGTATTTTACATTTAGCTAAAATTTTAATTATGTTTATGTTGGCAGTACCATTATAAGTACAGGAACTAAAATGACAAGTACCAATACCATGTCATTTTGGTTTGGTTTCAATTATTTGGGTATTTTGGAAAAAAAAAACGTATCAATTTAATTTTTATATCTTCTGAGCACCCAAAACTTTTATCACAAATTCATATATAATGAGAATGGTTGATATTATCGCTACTTGATCATAATAAAAGCGAGAGAATGATATCCTACAATGTTCCCAGAATCCGTGATCGAACATTGAACAATTATTCAAAACTTGTACCGATCCGAAATGTTCAAACGTGATGTGGGCACGTAGCTTTATCAAATCCGATCTATGTTTATTCCCAAAGCCAACAAAATGATCCACAGGAAAAATATTTGTAAAAAATAAAAAGAAGAAGAAGATTTCACTTCTCAGAAAACATAACATCGTCACCAGAATGAAGAGGCTTGCATTTGCCTCCCATCAGTATCCTCCTCTTGCAGAGCTCGAACCCCGAATCCTCATCCAACGGCTCGGATTCGCCGCCCACCCGATTACTCCCCCTGCTCCTCATAGACCTCGCAATCTTCAGCTTCGGTCTAGCGCTCACCCTTCTCGACGAGACCCTAGTCAGGTTGCTGCCAGCAGTCTCGTTCTCTTTTCCTTGCCCTGATCCCGACTGACCCTTCTCCGCAATCTTCCTGATCTTGCCCTTTCTGAAGAGATTCGACAGAAATTTCCTTGCTTTCGAGACTCTCACTGAACCCATTTTGCCACTCGATCTGTCTAACCATGTGTCTCTGCTCCTTCCGATGGCTTTCGACGAGCGGACGGCGGGGATCTCCTGTTTCTTGCCCCCGAAGAAACTCGAAATCGCTGAACCGACCCTCTCCGTCACCATCTTCGTCTGTTTCTCCCATTTCTCCTCCTTCGCCACCTTTTTCCTCCGGTGATTGCGGTGGTTTCCGTCGATCTGTTGTGAACTCATTGTTTTCTGATCACTTCTGCAGGTTTTAGGGTTTCGGGTCCGACGTATTGTTTAGGGTTTTAGGGTTTCCTTTGGGAATGTTTATGATCCTCTTCTCTGGCAGTGCTTGGCGTGGCGGCCTCTTTGGGGGGAGAGAACAAAAGAATATGGTTGATATCATTTTGAATTTTTTTATTTTATTTTTATTATTGTTTTCCTTTTCTAACAAAAGATTGAAACAATGATAATGTGTGTGTATATATATATATATATCATTAATAATAATATAGTTAAACAATATGTATGTATGTATGTATGTATATGTGTGTGTAATATTAATTCAGTTGTCATTTAAGGAGATCTTCTAAACCTAAAGTTAGTTACGTTCGCCAGATTACATGTGGGGGAATATATTATGGTATTGGTACAATGCACATGCAACCAAATCAGATTCCGCAAAAGATTTACCACAATAAATAAATATAATAATAAATCTAATTCACCCTGAAATTGAGTGTAAATTTAAGGAAAATAGACTGCAGATAACGATTTTTTGCCGATTTCTTCCCAAATTGCTCAATAGTTTGCGGATCACGACATTACAACTAATCTCTATACATTAGTATATATCATCTAAGAAATTCGATACCTTAAAAAAAGACACAGGTACTCATAAATCTAAATAAATTTCTATATTTAAAACATAGAAAGCTTATAGTATTTTTATCCATTTATACATTTAAAATATTAATCTATTCTTATAAAAAATATTTAAACGAGCGTTTAAAATTTAAAATAGATAATTTAGTAAATGTAATAGTATTATTGAGTGTGACTACAAACAGGTGAAAGATATATTAGGGTTACGGATATTTTATACATCCTTTATAAAAAAAAAAAAAAGTTACGGATATTTTAGTAATTGTTTTTCCATATAATATATATATATATATATATATATATATATATAATGACATGGGAAGAGGTTGACGTGGAACGTGTTGGTGTTGGACCAAAGCATTGAAGCCCAATTTCTAAGCCCATTCAGCCGACCAATACGTTCCTCTGATTTAGGAATTATGTTTGAACAGAATCGAAAGTTAACCGGTTTAAACCGAACTGGACCGACCTGCCGGTTTCTATTTATTTCTGTTTATTTCCTTGAGATACCGCGATTAATTGGAGAGTCTCCATCTCCAAGTCCAAGTTGTCTGGTTTCTCTGATTGTATCTCCTCGATTCGAAACCCTAACTCCGTCTCTCTCTCCGCCGCTGTCGGCGCTTCTCTCTCTCCGCCGACAAACTTCTCCGTTGAGATTTCTGCTGCTCCGTATCCTATCGAATAATCAAAAGTCCAGTACGTCCCTCGTCTCTCTGTATCCTCTTCTCTTTCTAATGCCTGAAGCTTGTGTTCTCTCTCCGTGATCTGTCTCATCCCATCTCACGAAACGTGCTGTTTCGTTTCTGAATTCTTGATTGGTTTAGCCGGATTCGAACGAGGAATCAGAAATTCTGGTGATTTTTCACACCCCTTTACGGCTTCTTTGAGTTTGCCAATCCTGAAATAAAATTTTAGTCGGGGAAATTTCTCCAAAAAGCTTGAGACTTTGTTGGAGAAACGAGATTCATTGTCATCTGCAAAGCCCTGTGAAGTTTATATTGGAGGTGTTAGTATAGTATACTAAGCAGTTGTACAAACTTGAAGTTCACGTTTTACTACATGTTCAGAGACTCTTATTTTGATCCGTTGATTAATACTATAGAACAAACAATGTCAGATTCCATTGAGATTGATCGTGCGTTGTGATTCTGCTTTGCATTTTGCTGCTGCTGAGAGAAGATGGAGGATGGGCAAGCTCTCGAGCTCGAAAATAAAAGGAATTTTGAGAGGTTGGAGAAGAAGATGAAGACTCATAAAGACCTCAAGAAGAAAAAGAAAAAGAAAGCTAAGGTATTGATGGTTATCTTTCGATTTGTCCTGAATTCTGTTCCTATCAACTGATTATTTTGAATTTAACATAAGAATACCGATGGACGTGTCCTGTTAAGTGATCTGTAACTCTGTCCTGGTTATTTCACAGGATCTCTGTGAAATACAAATAGGGGATGGTATTAGTGGAGGAAACTCTGTTGAGGAAGAAGGCACGGAACCATGTGATAGCAGGGCTACTGCAGAAGGAGATGGAGGAGGTGCTGGAATTGAAAATCTGGTATCTGAAACTCAGAAAGCTGAAAGAAATAAAAAGAAGAAGAAGGAGAGATTGCTGAGGGAAGCTGCCAAGGCTGATAACCGAGGAGTTTGCTATTTAAGTCGCATCCCGCCGCACATGGATCACGTAAGACTGCGCCACCTTCTCTCTCAATATGGAGAAATCGGAAGGATTTATCTTGCTCCTGAAGGTGAAATAGACTTCGAGTTCTCTACTTCTCTGTGGTTTAATATCTCATGTCTTTTGAATCTGCTTTTCTGCATTGGACTTAGCAGAGGCATTCATTGTTTTTATTTTGCTGCAGATCCTGAAGCGCAATTGCATCGTAAGCGAGCTGGCGGGTTTCGTGGGCAATTGTTTTCAGAAGGGTATGTTCATGCATTAGTTCTTCCTTGCAATTAGTATTTCTAATGCGTGTTGTTAAATCGATTGGAGAATGTTTGTGGGTTATAAAGGACATAATTTTATTATTTTGTATTGAATTTTGTGGTTTCCATGCTTACACACCTAATCTGTTTTTATTGCGCTCTTCCTCTTGCTAACCAATTGTAGATGGGTGGAGTTCACTAAGAAGAGTGTAGGTAAGAAGGTCGCTGATATGTTAAATGGAGAACAAATTGGTATGTCTAACGTATAAAGTTTGGAATATTTAATCTCTATCTTACATAGTTAAAAGGGATAAGCTTCCCTTATGGTTTTTTCTCTTTCAGGAGGGAGAAAGAGGTCATCCGTATTCTATGATATCTGGAATATCAAATACTTGAGCAAATTCAAATGGGATGATCTTACTGAAGAAATTGGTACATATACTTGCATTTGGTTAGCTGTTGTTGTGAAACGTTCGAGATAATCTCTAATCTGAATTCATCCCCTTTTCAGCATACAAAAGTGCAATAAGGGAGCAGAAATTAAATATGGTTCTTTCTGCTGCAAAGAGAGAGAGGGACTTCTATCTATCTAAAGTGGAGAAGTCCCGTGCCATGAATGCAATAGAAGAACGAATGAAGAAGGTACCAATTGTTTCTTACATCATATTCAGATTTCAGAATTAGATTCTGTTTCCATCAGATCACGGTCATCATTGTTCTATTTGCTAAAGTGTGGTTGAACATTTTTTATCCGGTTCTCAATCTATCTTCCTTGTTTTTTCTCTCTTTCTATGCGATAACTCTCCCAAGAAAATATCGAAATCTGATTTGTTCTCGTTCTTTTGGTTTGCTTCTTGTTATTACTTTCTTCTTCTGCAATCACATTCGTGCTGGGATCGTGTTTAGGATATGTTTCTTAGTTGTGTTTGGAATATTACTTAGCTCTGTCTGTTTGATACTGTTTTCCTAGTATGGTTTCAAATTCATCTTGATTCTTGTTTTGTGATTGAGCAGAAGCAAAAGATTCATGCAGAATCAGGCGAGAATGCTGAGACAGCACCGGTTATTCAGCCTAAGACAATTCGCAATTTCAGACAGAAGAAACCGGTGAAAGACGAGACACATCAGATTAAGCCTAAACTCTCCTCAGACGTCTTAGCAGGGGTAAGCATATATATGCTTCATTCATCAATCTCAATGAAAAAGAAAGATGCATCAGTTCACAGATAGCATAGGGCACCGAATAAGTAGCTTTGTTCACGGTTCAATCTGAATCTGTTAGCGATAAATGTTCTCTTTTTAACTGGTTTTAACCCCGTTTCCCCCATCAAAAACCAAATTTACAACCTGGTCACCCGAAAATCTAACCCATCACCATTGAGTCTGAATCTTGATATGTACTTTGAATAGGGATCAAATGTAAAATCCGAACCAAAATGGATTATGCTGATTCAACCTATCCTTGTAGATTTACCCATGATCCGACCTGGATTAGATATGTATTGTAACTGAGCCAAATCTTGGATTAGATATGTATTAGTAGTACATGCATTTCGACCAAAATTACCAATGAGGTTTATTATGTCAAATCTGAATCCGACCCATATAATATTTGCTTAGTTTTCAAAGGCCTTGATTTGAGTTTTGTTTCTTGTTTCCTTTTTCCAGATATTCAGCGGTTCATAGTGATGATGCATATGAGAAGGAACTGGAGCTATAATTGGTAGAAACGTTTATTGTTGTTCTGATTCCTGAAAAAGAGTTGGAGCAATGTCCACAAGTTTTGCAATGTGTAACATTTATAAACACTCCGCTCTGGACGAGACGGAAACCCGATCCGATGGTTCAAGTTCAGGTTTTAAAATTAGAGGGACGAATACCCCGGGTGTCCGTTTCAAATGAAAAAGATTTAGCTTTGCGATTATTTATGCCGGAGGATATGTCGAAAGGGTATGTCAGATATTCACTCTTCAAACATTTAACACATGAAATCGATGATATGGACCACAAAATTTGTTGGGACTATGTCCTAATTATTAACCTTGATCTCATAGTTTATGACATGGAATATATATGTTCATATACCATGTAATAGAATTACATTTCCAGGCCAAATGATGGGCATAATGTTTATTTAACCCATGGTTGTATCTATATTTAGACCAACCAAGACGAGTTCCCTTTCCTTGTGTGACTTATACATGCAACCATGAAAACGAAAGACAAAAAAAAAAAGATTTATAGTTTCATCATATACTCAAAATTTGATATCTGTTGGTGTGTTCTCACTTGAGATGATGATGTCCTTGTCTCTTCTTTGAAAATGTCTCTTGTCTTGATAATGTTTGTGTCTGTGCGGGTGAATTCATGGCCCCGAGAGAAAGTCTCCTTGTAGGGGTAGGAATTAGAGAAGGTATCATGCTCCTGATCAAGAAACCCGAAAAAAAGAAAAACAAAGACAAGAACATGTAATAAGAGATCAAGAAACAAGAATGATCAAGAACGAGAGCTATAAAGCATTTTGGAGAACAAGAAGGAAACTCACGGAGTCTCGGCTTCTCTACCCATCCTTGTTTGGGTCTTCTTGTGTTTCTGAGAAGCATTAGTAGGACCGTTGGAGACTCTTGGAACATTCACTTGAACGTTCAACTGCCACATCAAGTTTGCAACCGAGCAATCATTCGTCGCTGTTTCATCCGACTCATCCGTCGCTGCTGCATCTTCATACTGAATCTTCCTCACCTCAAATCCTTGATCATCCTTACCCACATTGATATTATTTCCAACTGTGCCTTGCCCCTCACGGGTAAATCCCGAAAACAGCTTGTCAGTCGTCTTTGTGTTTTCTGTTTTGAGGAAGTTTCCGTCTTCATGTTTGTCGATCCAGTCACCCGATATTGATTCACTATTGTCATCTTTTCCATCCAACGACGGCCTTTTCCATGATCGTGAACTCGTTAGTTGTTGAATGTCAAGACTGTGTCTTCTTGAAGATGTAGAGTTACTCTGACCCTGCAAGTAAAGAGCAAGTTTCCTATGTTCAATATGAATAATCACTTTAAAAGAATGAGGAAGTTTCAGAACTCAGATGCAAAATTTCATGGTTTCTTTGACACTAGGATTAAATATTTCATGGGTTACACAACCGACACAAAGTTACATACTCGAGGTTCCGTTGTTGCTTTTGTTTGAACAGATATCATATCATATTAATCAGTTCAACCAAAGCAAAGTCGAGAATCAACTTAAATAGTAGTTTTCATAATCATAAGTATCAGATTCATATGCATACCTTGAAGGTGTTGAGATCATCGATTTGAGCCTTATGTTTGCTTGAGAACCCCCTACTGGTTGGAGATTTTGGTAATGGAGAGACAAATCCAAAAGACTTTCTTCTTATGAGTTTGTCAGTGGAAATGGGTCGAGGAAGCTGTGTATGTCCCGCCTCACTTTCCTTTCTCGCTAGCGCAGCTTTTAGATTTGCGATCTGAAAGCAAAGGCAAGGAAAGAAAACTTTTGTTACAGTATTTCAAATTCTTAACTCGAATAAGAGTATAGTAAGAGAACTTGCTGAAGACTATGATAAAGATCTCAAATTTTGATATTAAATTTGAGCAGGAAAAGGATAAAGCTTGAGACAGTCAAACCTGTTCTTTGAGCTCTTTAATCTCGGAAGTGTCTTTGTTGACTCGAGCAGCCCCAAGCTCAACTGTCGCGACCCTCTCTGCAAACTTGAGGGTACTAATGGTTTCTCCAAGAGCTTCAATTTCAGGGCTGATGTGAACAAACATGAGTGTCTTGGCTTGTCCTCCTGATAAATACATGTATTTATACTCCACATAAGAACATGAACATATAACATGGTCAACTACTTCACAAAGCTAACAAATGAATGAAGGTTTTTACCCAGAGAATCTTGCAGTAGTTGTGTGAGCTTGCTATTCCGATAAGGAACATGGCTGTTCTTCTGAGCAAGCGATGATATCACATCTCCAAGAGCAGAGAGAGACTTGTTGATGTGTTGTGCCTCTTTTAACCTATCGCCAGTGACTTCAGACTTGTCGATCCTTTCGCTCCCTGCAAGATCAACCAAATGCATAGAACCACGGAGAACTGTTCCTGATGTGAGATCTCTTCCTTGGACGTGTACTGTTAGACAGCTGCAGATAGAAACCATGGAGAATTTGGTGAGCTCTTAGACATCAGGGTTAAGAATATTGACTAAAGATTTTTCCGGTAATTTCTTAAACAGAATGACAGTGTCAGTCGTTTTCCAGTTATATAACCCGAAGAGCAAAGTATTCATATCTCTAATACACATACCCACAAAAAGAGAGAAAAAGTTACCAGTGAGATCGACTACTACGGTCGTTTATGGCTGTGGAGCTCACTGCACGGTTCTTTTGCCCGAGATTCATTAGATAAATGACATCAGAAGTTGAAGACACTGTCACTAGTGTTGCGTCTGGCACATTGATTCCATCTTGAGAACTGTTTCGGATCTCTAACGTGTTTACAAGTTAAGGACAAAAGTACCATCAAAAGAACCATCAAGCAGTTCTGGCTACTCATTCCCAAATCTCAGAAATAGCTTTAGCCTTTACCATCTCTTTGTGCCTGATATACCCATGAGATTTTTGGTCATTTTCTTCTTTCAAGTTTTGGCTTTATTTAGTTGGCTTTCGAGTTATTGATGTGCAGGAAAATAGAAACACAAGTATGTTTGAAAAGGATATCGCTTGTTTTGACCATCTGTGGTCAGGAGATCTCGGACTTGCTCGTTGTAGATTTCAAGCATCTGAACTGAAATCTCATAGGAAAACGTGTCTTTTCTTTCATTAGACAGATGAAAGAGGTCAGACAGTGCTCTGTAGTTTACACCTAAGCTCTCCTCCGTGAGCTCCTTAGGTCCTGTCTGGATCGGAAAAGTTAAAACAGATCAGTAATTATAAGCAAAACACAGCTAAGAACACTGGTGTGGGAATTACAGCGAGGAACTAACTTTATAAATTCAACACGGATACGAAAATACGAAAGAGAACAAAGATGTTTTTGACCTAACATAGAACTCATCAATGCCAGAAGAAAAGAAAAAGAAAATTCACTGTCAAAATGTAAAAATATTTAAGGCAAACTCATGAAAAGAAAACCCTTTCACAGAAAAGAATTTGCATTTGGTGTTTGACGGTATACTTAGAATCCAAACACTCCAACGAGATGTCTAATAAAAAAAGAATTGTACCATGGTGAAAGTTTTTCCAGATCCTGTTTGTCCATACGCAAATATGCAGACATTATAACCATCAAGCACGGACCGGATCAGAGGTTGAGTGTCTGCAAATACCTCCTCTGCAGATTGAAAGCCGTAAGAAATAATATAAATAAATTTTTGCTACCAAGATCCAAGATTATAACATTGAAACATAATATGATTTATGGTTGAACATGAATCGAGATGCATTTTCACATTGATATGTTTACTCCCGAAGATTTCAATATCATGTTCGAATTTCAGTTGTTATGCCTCCATGATTCTTTCAAGTACAAAGAGATATCATAATCTAAAGGAGAGAAGAGAAGAGAGGCAAACAGACCTTGACTTGCCAAAGGGCCGAAAACTTTGTTAAATGAGAACAACTTTTGTCCTTCTTTCCCATGCTTCGAAGGGATCGCAATCGAAATAGTCGAATCCTCTATGCGATCTATCGTAGTCAACACACTTGTCTTCCCAGGCAAGAATGGTCTCACACGGCAATACACCCTTATGTTTCCTGATTGTACGTATATCGCAAATCTTAGCCACTAGCCCCACTTCACAAGCAAAATATTTTAATAGTTCATAGCCTTGCTAGTAAATTCTTCAGGGTTTGTATCCAATGAGTCTGAGGTTTCATTTCTGGTTTTGCCGTAGGGATTAATCTATACATATGGGTGTATATGAGTGAGGATGTTCGATACCAATATATCTTTGATTGTGATAAAGAAGACAAAACCCATGGTCTAATTTATCTCCATCCAAAAGAACTCGGACTTGGAATTTGTCAGATATAGATTTCATTTGAATCCTAAATCAATGTAATAGATCCTGATGATTGAGAAGTACCTCATCGATTTCCTACAGTTACCTTTAAGATCTTGCACTTGATTGTATAGTATACGGTTTTCTTCGAGAACTTTTTGGTATCCATTAGCTGCATAAGCTAGACCACGCATATGCTTGCCTATTTCAGGAAGAGAACAGAATGGTTAATTATAAACCTTCGGAATATTAAATATAATTGTGTTTTCCAGCTACTGCAGCTGCTGTTGGCCATGCCAATTGTTGCAGCTGTTGGAAACGGATAACTGAATGTTGTACTTTAGATTCTTCACCTAAGTTTTTAACCTCTTCCTGGTACTTCATCTGCAAGAATTCGACACCGGCTTTTGTTGACTGTAAAGCACGTTTGAGTTCCTGAACGAACATAAAATTCATGGACTATAAATTATAAACCAACAAATGCAAATCCAGAATGAGACTATGAACACTATGGTTTGGTGTGTGTGTGTGTATATATATATATATTAAATTGGCCTACTTCAACATATATCTGCTGTTTCTCAACTATCATCTGTTGATTCTCGGCACGAGCTCTTGAACTTCGGTTGAAATGACAATCTAGGAGATTGTTATCTGGTGAAACTTCTGGGTTGTTTGCAGCATTTGACGTATCATTTTCCGCAGCCTAGAAAAAAGAATATACATCACGTTAATTGGAATGAAGACGACGTTGTTTGTGGTACTCAATTCTCTGGACTAACAGAATGCATGCACAGAGTATTCCTATATGCCTAATGTAAAATTTCAAGTTTATGTCTTGTTGATATAACCCTGAACAGTCTTTTCTATTCAATAAAAATTAAATCGTGGGCATAATGTTTCCTCTAGAAATAAGGATAGGATTTGTAATCAAGCCCGCTCTTTGAAATCGTATACATACCCCATGTTCATTCATTGAAGTCCAGCAGAGCAATACACATCCACTTCAGTCTTAATTTATGTATGCATCAGGGCATAACTTCTATATGAATATGGAAGCTTTGTGTCCCTATCGAACACATATATCTCATTAACATCACCTTCTATTAGAGCTTTTAATTCGATGGATGCAAGGTCTCTACCAAATCCAGATCCAAATATTTCATTGCCTCTAATCTACAAATACATATGTAACCAATAATGATATCTAGATCCTTGAGTTAAAGAGTTAATAAGGAATTTTTCCATTGTGTTCATGATCTTGAGTGATTCATTTTTTATAAAACAACAAAAGTACATTTGATCCTAAAGATCTGTGCATTTACATAAAAAGATAGAGTGTCTCTACGTACCAAGCCAACACATAGCGATTCTTCATTGCCTGAAAGAGTTCTCCCAAGATCGCCAGAGTCAAGTGTTAGTTTGTTCTCTGTGCTCCTTTGAAGCTACATAATTGTAAGATTCGTGATTAAAAAAATGAATTAGAAAATTCTGCTCACCTCCTTAAAATCTTCAAGGGACATGAGATTTTTATCTGACAGCTTATATATCTACAATCTTCAACTAATACAGTCTTAGAGGCAGCTGCTTACCGATTCGCTTTGTGTAGCCAGCCTACTTTCAAACTCTACCATGACTTTGTTCAGCATAGATTGTACAATCTGGAAGCAAAGGAAAATTGAAGGGTGTGTATAATTATAAATCTTAAGAACACAAGAACAAGCCTCTCTCCTCCACACTGAGCTCAAGTAAAGATGTCAAACAATATTATAAGCAGACAGAGCAACAGAAGAATGCTTACATGAGGGATTTCTTCTTGCTTCTTATCTGACAAAACCTTGCGGACAATCGCATCTATGGATTGGGAGGTTTCCTGCAATTTGGAATGTACTTAGGATGTAACAGAAAATTGATGGTACAGGAAAATATATTGTTTATATATATACGGCAATGGCATAGCTCACTAACTCCATGTTTGGGATCACAATCAGATTGACAGTGCTCAGACTGCTCATTGGATAGAGTATCAGTAGGGTTAGTTGTGGGTGGATTCACGGCCGATTCTAAGGTTTTGCGTTTAAATTGTCTCGCGATGCCGAATGTGGTTGGTCTCGAGATCACTACATATCTCCATGATCCGCTTCCACCACTTTGCTTCCACTCACTGTATGACTTGAGAGCCAGTACACACTCCACGATTCTTGTGGATTTACCTCCCTGAGAACATATATCGAGCAAGAGAATAGAAAAGCTTATCTCACATCATAATTACAATCCACACTAGAATCAAAACCAATTGCTATAAACCACTTTTCGGAACTTGCCTTTAACCCATGTTTTTAACATCATCAACCTCATAATTATCAGTGTAAGATTGTAACATATGCATTAGTCTCACAATGCCTTCAAATATAATTGAAGGGTATGCTTCTCGAATTTTTCTCTTCTCATAGTTCTACTATGTTACCTTCTCAAAATCAGAGACTTCAAACGTGGGAAGCCCCATTTCCTCCACAGCAACAAGAAAGTTCCGTAGATTCTCAAAGTACTGAAATGCAGATAGAGCTGCGCCATCTTGATTGACGAGGGAATCATTTGGAGCTTCAACAACCTGAGGTTTCAATTCACACAATCAAGATGATAATTTCGTTTTACAATTTAATTGTTTAGTGAATTTAAAGCAGTTTATGAGTTTAAATAATGTAAGAATGCTGAAAAAAATAATAAGAATTATGTTTGATTATTAAATTTACCTAAAATTTTTGAAATTCCAATTTCTCTTTTTAAAACATAAAACAAATACTAATTTTCACTAGTATTTGTATGAATTAGTTGAAATAATTAAGACTAACCTTACTGTTATAATAACCATCAACTGCTACCTACGGCAACAGCTTATTAACATTTTGCACAAACTCGACTTAAGACCAACTTGGTAGAAATCAAACTTGAATAAAAAAGGTATTTTAGCAACAAGCCGAGGCTTACCTTTGGCACAGCACCGGGTTGAACTATGTTAAGGACATTGCAGAGTAAGATCCCACTCTTTAATACAATATTGAACTCTTCCTCTGAAGGCTCTGCATTCAAGTCTTTGCCAATGGTGCGTCTTAACCACCCGGCTGCTTCATACCTTCGCAAGGCTGAAACATACAATTTCATATTGATCGATGTATGGACAACCAAAGCCATGATGGCACAGTAAGATTCGAAATTAAGGTGATGCAGACAGGTTACAAGGTTAAGTGGATTGCAGGAATCTTGTTTTGCGATGTTTTCAGGGGTTTATGATGGATAAACTTGAACTACACATGAAAGAAAGAACCAGTGATCATCTCAAATTGATGCTGTCAACAGTAATCCACATATTTCCAACTAGGAACCAATCAGAGAACTGAGTTTCATAAATCCTTGTCAAGTTCACAAAAATCCAGTTCCAGACGCTCATAACAACAAAGCCTAGAAATTCATCGATCACGTATAAAGCTCATACTATCTTTCAGGTTCAGAGAAATAAAATTGATGATCCCACAACTCATCCGGTCATCCCCACATTTTCGTTTACGGATCCGTCAGAAACCCTAATTTCAGAAGCCCATGTTCCATAACCACAGAAATCCAATAATAAGTGTTCATTACGATCAAAGAGAAGGAAGAAGAACAGGGAAATAGATGATCGTACAAGCTTCGTCGACTTTTCTGGAACTCGAATCAACACAAATGCTGGGTTGAACACTGTTGCTCTGTTTTAGAAAATCCTCCAGAACCGATAGCAAACAGAGCCGCGAGTCTTGTTGTTCCGCCGCCATTGTAGGAGGATAAAAAACAAACAAACTGTCCTTATAGCTTGATGAACAGGATAAACAAAATTCCTGACACCAAAATATCTCTGTTTTGAATTTCTCAGACAAATCTCAAGCCCAGAAACTCAAAATTCTCCGGTAGAAGAAAATTCGAATGAAGGAAATCGATCTACTTGTATACTATACATGTACACAAACATATATATTGAAGCTCGTTCGAAACAAACCCCAAAAGGGAAAGGGAAAAAATTGAGAGAGAGAAGAATCGAGGAAAAATCTCTCTCAATCTCTCTCTCTCTTTTTTTTTTGTTTCAACAAAAAAAATGCAACAGAGGAAGAGGAAGAGGAAGAAGAGGAGCGAGCCAACGAACTGGGCCCCCGAGCCACACGGCTCCTGTAGCTTGACGGTTTAAATAAAATAATTTTTTAAAACATTTTATAATTGTTGTTCATGTATTTATATCGATATTTTTAACAAAATATGAATATTTTAAACACATTGATATTTATAATTTAAAACCCATCTGTATATTTAAATTTAAATTTAACTATTTTTCTATTTATGTTGTTCTGTTGAGATTTCTTTCTTAAATATTTAGGATTTTTCTCATTTTCAACTCTTTTGTATTATATATATATATTGGAATCTTAGTAATCCAGAATTAAAATTTTCATATTTAACTGTTAAATTACAGCACTTCATATGGTAAAAAATATTATATTTAACTCATGTTTTTAAAATAGTTTTACTTTTACAAACATAAGTAATCAACACTTTAACATAATTGAAATTAAAATATTTTTATATATAAATCTAGAAAAATAGAAACTTTAAACGTAAAACAAAAACTTAATCAAATTAAAATATTAAATACGGAAGCACAAGTTGGAATAAAATAATTTTTGAAAAAAAATATTTGGTTTATCATAATTATATTTTTTTAACGCTGATCTAACTTATTTGGAAAAAATCTAATAAAAAGTAGAGGAGCAATAACTTACCTTAGTTTTAAGATATAGAATTATTTCAGAAAATTAGATATTAATGATGAAACTAAAAAAATGGACATGAAGTTGATATCTCAAAATATTTTTCTTAATACACAATCCTTAAAATGAGAAAATTATATTTTTTATCATTATTAATATAACCACAGTGATTTGTTGTGTTATATATATATACACATACATATTCGTCCCTAGTATTTAAAAGGATTAAAGCCATGAAGGCATGTGTTTTATGCAATATATATATATATCCATAATATTTGAAATGATTATTTTTAAGAAAATTATTATATGGGAAAAATATAATTAAATGAGTAATTTTAGTTATTTTATTGCATAAAATTTTACTAATTCGCATCATTCATTCTTTTTTCCCTTTATTGGCATATTTACTGTAATCAAATATTTGATAGTCAAAAATGATAAGAATAATAACATATTTTCTGAATTCGCCATTGCCAATAAGTAAACCAAAATTTACGGTGACTCAATTCGTACAGTTTTAAAAAATAATAAGAACTTTCCAAACGAAAAGAACAATACTTTATTATTATTATTATTATTTTTGTATTGTCGTTACGTAATATACTATATACAGTATAAAATCTCCATATAATAACGCCTATATTTTTTAATGGTAACAATGTATGGGATTTATTCAATCACATAATTATATTAATAAATATAACAAAAATCTTTAAAAAGAAATGATATTCGTATTAATAGAATAAAATGTCATTCGAATGAATGCAAACATTTTCTTTCTGCATTGACAAATAAAAATACGAGGTTGAAGAGAATCATGAAACTTCTTCTGCTTCTTGTATCGCCGTTCCTTGTGATCCTTGGTGATATCCAAGCCGTTGATTCAATCTCCCATCCTTCGATCTCAACCGTCGATCTTAAACCCCATAACGCCGTAGTAGTATTACCCGAGACGACGTCGTTTCTAACTGATTCGCCGTTGCGGCTGAGGAAGCTTCTCGGCGGCGGCGGAAGCGGAAGCAGAGGCCGTTGGGTTTACAACGGCGACGGATCTCCGGCGCCTGAAAGCGACGGCGACAGCGGCGGTTCCCGCCTTAAACACGGTGACCCAATTTACGGATTAACCCTCGTTGTCATTAACTATTTGCTTCTTGTGTTTTAAAACGATTTTGGTTTATTAAAATGTTATACCTTTTCTTAAAGAAATTTCATTTTCAATATGCTATTTTGACCGTTTCTTCGTATGTATTCCATTTTAATAATTTTTTAATCGAATTACAAGTTTTGATTCAGATTTTCAGAAGGATTCGGATCAATATGGTTTATGTAGCGGTTATCATTCTAAACAAACCAAAACCTAAATAGAGTAACGCTCAATTGCGAAAATGAACCTTCGTCTCTTCCGTTTATTTCGGCCGAGAATTAGTTCAATATTTTTTTTCCAATTTCAATTCACTTTTGGTTACTTATAAATTAATATTTATTAATTTTGAAAAAATTAAATCAATCTATTTTTATATGAACTTCTATTATATGGTAATTCCATTTGTATGCTTAAAATGGCAGACCAAACCAAACAAGAAGAGTCGAATCCATCTGGAAAATACCGGGCTTTAAATATAAATATATTGACTCGAAAAAATTTTAGACTTTTGGCCCAAACTCAAATCAGAGTTTTCGGACCAACACGATTTAAAAAATAAAAATAAAAAGAAAATTACGAATAATGAATTGAATGGAGAACAAAATCTATAGGACCAGATTCCGAACTTAGTTATTCAGACAAAAAAATCGAACCAATCTGAGTCCGAACCAAAAACCCTCGTCGAATGCACACTCAGATCCGATTGACACCCCTAATAGAACCCAACACAAATAAACTGGAGCGAAGAAGAGGGAAGGAAATTATCTTCGTATTTGTTATTATTCTATCATTTTTCTCCAAACCCTAACTTGCCGTGCAGGTAAAGTCGAGAAAGCATTAATACGACAAATTTATTTCAGAGCATTCTGCTACTAAAGACCAAACAGAGAGCGCACTCACACACACACTATGTTTTAGATATCAGAATATATAAACCCCTTCATCTTGCTCTTCTTCTCTCTTCTCCGGCTGGTTTTTCCCCCTCCAAAACCCTAAAAATTCCATCGCCACTGTTATATCGAGCTTTAAGCATTCGTGTTTGTGTGTGTTTATAGATGTACTGCATCCGGCATTACCAGACTTGCAGTTGCAGAAGATGCTTTAGATAGTTTTCGCCCTTTTGTTCCGCCCTCAGTAGATCTCGTTCAGAATTGTCGATGAAAGGAGACTCTGCACAAACTCTGATCTCTTCTTCTTCTCTTCCCGATCTTTCATCGAGACAAGCGAGCCGCCGCTTTGTCTGTTCATGAGTGCGCCCATTCGACAAATCAAGAGATGGTTCAGAGAAACAATCAATCACGAACAAGTCTAGGACTTTACGTTTGAACCCAGAGAAGAAAATACAAAATCTTACAGTTCAATCGGTTTTTCTCCCAATGTTTTCTTGGCTGCCCGAGCAGGAACAAGATAGTCTGCCTTTGGTAAGACAAAAGGAGATAGAAGAGGATCAGGGGTTCCACCCGAAGCAGACGAAACGATACAAGATGGAATTCCAAACAGCCTCTGAAGATCTCCGTCTCTTAGCTCTTTCCGGATGAGAGAGATTGTTGTTGAATGTGAGCTGCTCTTCCGGGATTTCCTCTTTTGCTGCATGTAAACTACTGATTAAGGAGTTCAACATAACCGAACCCATGAGTGAATCCATGATACAGTTGCTTCCCGGCTAAGATAATTATATATTACGCAAAAGGATATCTTGAATATATTCCCGTGCTGAAGCGTTATGTGTGATATCATATCAACCCCGACTCTTAAGGAACAGACCGGACATACCTGAAAAAAAGAAAAAATAGCTCATGGTGAAATGAAATCTTGAGGTACAAGTTTAAAGGATATACCAAAGGTTTCTGAAAGCCCAAAGTCATGCACTGATGTGAACCGAAGTTGTGAATTCCAAGTCAATCTGATAGTTCAGTTAACCTCTTCAACAGTTGCCGGATTTTTCATATGCTATGACTTTTAGATACTTTCGATTCAAAATGATCATCATTCGGAAATATAGCAAGAGAGCAATACCCCGTTCTTTGCCTCTAAAGGATGCTCATCGTCTAAGTGGCAGCACAAGCCGATGATATCATATGAGTCTGCACAGAACGGGCAAGGAAACACCTCCCGGAAATCATCATCTCCAACTATATCTTCAAACCCCATTAAAGTTTCTGCATTCAGAAACAGAGTTCATGTAAGTTATGAGAAACATGATATCCCAAAAGACTCGATATTTTAATCAGTTGATGAAACACGAACAATAAAGAGGTCTAAAGGTAGACTGGAAATTCCTCAGAAATTCCCTAGATGATCCCACACCATCCTTATTTCTCTGCTTCTACCCAACAACTAGAAATATACAACGGAAAATAACAAAAGCAGGATCAGAAATATCAATCTAGAGCTAGAATCAAGCCCAATCACCTAAAGACTTAGTTAACCAATGATCTAATAATATTCTCATCAATTCCGTTGCGGGTTATCCATCAAGACCCTAAACCAGTCAAGTCCAAAGAGGACACTACAAGTAGATAAAACTCAAATCAAACACTAAACATATCTAAAGAGGAAAACACAACTTTGCATCTATATCCTGAGGGGAAAATAAGGTATATCGACTTTAACTGTATTTCGCATGTTTTCTTGACAGATAAAGAACAGGCAGAGCTGAATAAGCACAACAAGCACCTAACTACCCTTCTTCAGCTCGAACTATTATCAAAATTAATGAAATACTAATTGATGAAGATACTTTCCGTCTAATTGGCATAAACCCAAAACCGATGAACAAGTCTAGAAAGGAAATCAACCCTTCCGCTTACGATAACTAAAACAAATGCTGAACTGCATCTAAGTACTGCGGAAGTTATCAATTTTCACTCTTTTTTGTGCATTTTCTCGGCAGCCAAACAACTATTGATTCTGGATAAACACAACAAATCCATTCTCAATCTAAAATTACAGTTGAAATTAAGTTAATTAACTAAAAGAAAGCAAGCTAATATCCTAAAGGTCAAATTATCCTCTACCTGACATCTAAAGAGGAAAATCAAATCCGTCCGTTTGATACCGGTAAAGTAAATATGATATTGCAGAGAGTCCCGAGAAAAAAAAAACATTGGCTTTCACTGAATTTTCTTGCGTTTTCTCACTAGTCATACAAATGTCAGCGCTGATCTGAACACAAGAAGCTCGCAGAAACATCAACCGAAATTAACCAAACAAGAATCGGAACTAACGAATTGAGATATAGCAAATGGATCAACCATCTCCGTTCTGATCAAAATTTCAACATTTTCTATGAAAACAAACATGACCAAGAAACGTAAACACACGCCAAGAAGAGGAAACAAAAAAAACCCAATTATTTTATTGTAAGCTCACCAGATCGAGATCGAAGAACCGATTGGTATCTCTTGGAATCAGACTCCATCTCTCCGTCGAAAGTGCGAATATACGATCAATCACCGTCCGATTGGATGCAATCCCAGCAAATCAAGCACAATATTCCCAAATCCAAGCTAGGGTCGGCCGAATTTTGGTAAGTTGGCAACAAACCCCCCACGGGATTGATCGTAATAGATGGAGACGACGATTTCGTGGTGGGAGAATTCGGGGCCTTGCACGGGGGAGAGAGAGAAGAAGATCATTGGGCGAAGTGGAACTTTTATCTAGGGCCGGTACCGTGTCGGTCCTTGTTGAAATCAACCGGAAAACCGGAGACTGAACACCGAGCAGGCGGGTACCTAACCGACAATAACCGGACTAAACCGGAGACTGAGCTTTATCTAGGGTTTGTGGACTGATGTCCGTCCAAAGTAGGAGTATATGTCAATACTCTAAATAAATACTCTACTCCAATCACAAATGAATATTATATTATCAAACAAAAAAAAAGATACAAATTGCGATTATAAATAAAACAATAATCCAAGTTGCTATCTTTAGCAACGCAACTTGCAAAAAAAAAAAAAAACTATGAAAAATAAGTCGGTTTCTATTATGGTAGAAAAAGGATGAGGCCCATTCGGGCCGAACGCTTGAATAATATAAAACCAAATAAAATACAATATATATATATATATATATTATGAAAACATAAACACAGAAAGCGACTATCTATGTATAGATGAGCCTTCACACGCGTGGATTGCGTATTCGTGTATATGGATCAACACGCGTTTTAGAGGGAATCAACTGCTCATCTGGAAAATTTGCTACCAAGTTGATTTAAAATAATAAAAACAGAAAAAAAAAAGGCGATAATGATCTCGTGTTAGTCCCTTTAAGCCAATTTTAGAGAATCACACCATTACAAATTCAAGTTATGATTTTTTTTTTTATGTATACGTGGAAAACCTACGCAATCTATATATATAATAATAAGGTTTTAAAGGTTTGTGGTGAAGTCAGTTCATCTCCACATCATCATCTAGATGACATTTGTTTTAATTTTTATTTACTATTAAAATTCTCATTAGTTATTTAATTAGAATATTATAAATATGCTTTTGGGAAAAATAAGAACTTTAGTTTCATATAATGAAAATAATTTCTAATTTCGTTATTAGTTTAATATATTAAATTCAAATGATTTTATTTTGAAAAAATATGTTCAAATAAAAAAATGAATTTTATTTATATTATATTTGTGTGCATTTTTAAATTTACCTTCAAACTAAAAATAATAAAAAAGTCAATTCACGTCATCCTATTGATTTTTAATAAATTTTTGTTGTTCTCAAAATGATAATATGTTAATCTTTATTTAATTTATAATTGAGTTTAGTAATTCATCTTTATTTATATGTTAATTATGGTAACTAAAATGATAATATTTTGAGAAAATAAAAATCATTTGTATTAGATTCAACATGTAATTAATATTTGGTAGAATAAAAAGTTAAAAATATGAAATGATCAAGACTATTTATTTGAGTAATGGGAGAAACGTATCATTATGCATAGTGGTCATTACTTTGGATGGTGAATGGTCATGGCTATTAATTTGACAATAGAGTAGGCTAAAATCATCCATGTGACAAATTTTTAATTATCATTGAAAAATTAATAATAACCAAATCTATATATATTAATAATTGTATTTAACGTATCATGTCATTATATATGTGGTATTTTTTAATTTTTTTTATGTATTTAAAAATAATGTTTAATAGTAATATTAATAAATATTTTATGTATATGTTGAAAATGTACGAATGGCTAATGAGATATTAATCTTATATATTGGAAATTATATTTAAACTTATAAATGTCTATAGATTATTATAATTAAAAAAGTTATACCAAAAAATATTGTCAATATTTTATGTTATGGTATAAACGGTTAATGAGATATTAATCTTATATATTGCAAATTTTTTATCGGCTTATAAGTGACAATAGTTATTACAATTTAACAAAAAAAATTCTAAAAAATATGGTCACGGATATTCATTACTCTATTAAAAAACAAAATAATCCTCTTAGTGGCAAGAGTATTTTTTTTTTTAAAAAAAAGAGTATTTATTAGTCCACTACTAACCATAACCGTTAGTGGAGTAAATGAATTTAAATTGTTATGAAACTATCCAATAGCAAAAAAAAAAACGATGCCATTCATTGACAATTATTTTTCCTAATTAATTTGCCAAGATGACTTTTGGTCTTTGCCCGGGTGTTGATTTTCGGTTCGGATAGAGAACTGATTATATACTCCCCGAGATTACCGGGCAAGTCCCCAAACATTTTTCCTTGCTTCAAAAAATTTACCTAATGCCCGTAAATTTGTAATGTTGGATGTAATGGTTTTCATGCTGTGTGGCTTATGGTGATGGTGTCAAATGCAACGGGAGACTCTGATGAACAGTCATTATTCAACATGAACTCAGAGAGATTTCAGGTATCATTGGACAGAGTTGAAGATTTGACTCATTCGGATTATCTTTAAGACATCTTAATCCGATCTTGGTGAAGAAGGAATTGGTAAAAATGTGTAATCTTTCCGTTGCTTCTCCTTTCAACATGTTGCTTCTACGTTTGATCTGAATCTATATGTGAATAAATTTTAGTTCCTGATTGGATTTGGATTTGGTGATTGGATTTGGGCTCAATCTTCAAAACATGTTGCAGATTAAGCTTTACAAAAGTCCTTACTTTTACCCTCGAATATAACTTGTATGTCGCCAAGTATTGATTTTTGACTCGAGACATATAGCCTTTATCTAAATAACAAAAAAAAAACGTTCTATTATGTTCTTATCTAATGATTTTAGGGGGAAAGTATGGAGTTGATCAAGAGTGTGAATGTGACATTTAGATAATTTTCTTTTTATTACGTTGTAGCATAAATATTTGGCTAATTTTCTTTTTTATTATGTTGATGCAGAGTATATGCACAAAACTATCATTAATTTTCTAAGGAATGTATAAAAATGTAAGATTGATATGTATCTATTCCTCTTTAATTTTAAGCATTTTTATATATATGCACTAACTCGAGGTTCTCTAACTTATTTTCATTTGAAATATATTTTTTCGCCTTAATATTTTTTTTTATTATGTGATTGTCCTGGTGGGGTTCGAATCTGGGATATGGAAAAGCACTTTGTGCTCCCACGCTACCAGAAGTGAATGTTTTAAAAATAAATTTGTCTTAAAACTTTGTATCATTTTAGATTATTATATTCTTTTTAATTCTTCACATTCCTTTCGAATATCTCTTCTTGAATACGAAAGACATAAAGTCAATGAAAACGAATTTCAAATGTCCTTGCATCTAATTCCGAACTAATAAATATTGTGTGTGTATATATATATTATAAATTAATTTGGTAGTTTAATTTCTGCTTTCTTTCTCATTTTCATTTGAAATATATTTTTCCACTTAAAGTTACAAGAAGTGGTGAATGTTTTAAACACAAATTTGCATGTATACATATATATATATATATATGAAAATATTTATGTATATATATGTATATATAACGATGTATTTGTGTGTATATATGTCAATATGTATATATTTATATATATATATATATATATATGTTTTTATATGAGTGTATTTATAAATGTAGATATATACATATTTAAATGGATGTTTATGTGTATATATATATAAGCATATACATACACATATGTGTATATATATATATATATATTTGTTTATTTTACTTTTACTTTTATATGTATATATATATGCACGTTTATATTTGTATACGTGTATACATAAATACTATAAATATATACATGTATACATGATTATATAGATGTATAGGTATGTGCATGTACATGTAAATATATATGTATATAAATACATGTGTGTATATATATACATATATTCATATGTATATTTGTGTATATATGTATATCTATCTATGTCTATGTTGTATGTATATATATTTATATGGATTTATATGTAGATATATATATAGAAATATTACTAATTAAAAATTAATTTTAATTATATATTCTCATTTATTTTTTTGTGTATGTATTTTTAATATTTAATTTTTAATTTTTAATTTATGTATATGTATATATGTATATATAGATGTATTTATGTGTATATATATTTGTGTATATATGTATATCTATATATGTGTGCATGAATGTTTTGCATGTGTATATATTTATACAAGATTATATGGATTTATATATACGTATATATATGCAGTGGTGGATCTAGAAAGTTTTACGGAAATGGACGATACTTTTATATATATATATATATTATAATTTTATAGGTATAAATTTATATTTTTGGGGACATTTGATAATATTATTTATAATGTTTAAAAATTTATAAAGAGTAATATTTTTTAATTAACTAAATGCAAGTCTCTACCCCCATTCTCCATAACGTAGATATATCCATGTATATATATGTACATATATATGTAAATATATATATATATATATAGATGCATTTGTGTATATATATATATATATGTACATATATTTATATATATTTGTGTATTTATATTTGTATATTATGTAATTGTGTATTTATATAGGTTTGTACATAAACTCATATGTATTTGTGTATATATGTATGTCTATGTATGTATATTATATATATATATTTATATGTGTGTATGTATATATATTTATATGAATTTATATGTACTTATATGTATAGAAATACTACTAATAAAAATGAATAGTTTTGATTTTATATTCTTTTTTTATTTTTTTATTTTTAAAATTATTATTCATACATTTTTATCTCTACGAGAATGATCTACCATATCTAAATCCTAAATCAATGAAAATAATAATTTTAAAATAAAAATATTTTGATACAAGATAAAATATGATGTTAAAATATACAAAATCAATACTAATTTAGAAAATTAAATGAAAAGGAAACTAAATATATGTACGTTTATATACATTTATATATATATATATATATATGTATATATAACGATGTATTTGTGTGTATATATATGTTTATATATGTGTAAATATATATATATCTATGAATATATATATATATATATATATATATGTTTTTATGAATGTATTTATATGTGTATACATGTTTAAATGGATGTTTATGTATATATATATATATATGTATATGTAAATATATACACATCATCATCTACAATAATTTATATGAATACACACCTCAAGATCATCAAAAATTAATTTTCTTACACATCGAATAATAAAAAATATCGAAAATAAATACATCCAATACAAATCATCAATACATATAAAAAATGGTTTCATCATATAATAATATGATGGTTTTATAATATAATACAAATGAATTCGCGTAGTTTCATTGAAATCCTAATTTGTTTGGTTTTGTTTACTCTAAATTAACACAGCAATTTAATAAATTATAAAAATGAATTTGAATTAAATTTAAAGATGAATTTGTTTGCGTTTGCTTTCTCAATTTAGGAATAAATCAAACTAATAATAAAATTATTAATTTGTGATCGATTATTTTTATGATCTATCAAATTTAAATAATATCTCATCGACTTTAACCCATTATCTAGACCGTATTATGAATTGATTCATTGTATATTTTATTTTATTTTTATTTTTCTACCTAAAAAAACAACAAGTTGTTAGTTTTTTTTTTATCTTGCTTTGGTCTAAGAATAATGTATTTTAAATATATGCCAAAACATGCTATATGTTACTAAGGAAAAAATGAAAAATTCAACTTAAATTTCTATTGATTCTCTTTTATTTGCTACATTGTATTCTAAAATCACTCATTGTACCGAGTTTAAAGATAAATTATTTGCTAACAAATTCGACTATAATACCTTATTTATATTATCATCCAACTGATGAGTTTTTACGGAATCATCATTGTGGTTAATTAACAAACTTCAAATTCGGATTGAAGCTTTTAAGGTTAAAAATATATTGAGACCTTTATAAAAAAAAAACTTATTTTTTATGGGTGAGAGTACAAAGCATTAAACACATTTCAAAATTATTTCAATTTAAAAAGATAAATTGAATTACGCTGACCAAAATAATACTAAACATGAAAAATAAAGGAAAACAAATAGAGGTAAAAATAATACGTACTTTATGAACAATACATTTTCGTTATCTTAATTTTGAATTGCTCACAATGAATATAATACTTTTCATTTTACTGAATTAATTAAACATAGTAGATGGGACAATTAAACATAGTAGATGGGACAAGTCGACGATGATCAGTTTGATGTTTGCGATCAACATGATCTAATATGTTTTTTAATTAGTGTATAATTTCTAATTGGTATTTTAAAATTATACATAGTTGGAGTTCATTTCTAATTAAAAATTATATAAAAAAGAATCATATTCAACTCTTTATATACGAAATATATTACAAAACATTGATATAAAAATTATATAATATACTAAAATTAAAAAATAGTAATATAAGATTTATAATTAAAAAAACCATTAATATAGAATTTGAAATAAAAGTATAAACAGAGTAAAAAATATTTTATAAAAAATATAATAAACCGCGCAACGAGCGGTTCTCACCTAGTATTATCAATAAAATCCATATAGCATAGCGTCATTCATCATCGTCTAATAAGCGACGGTTCCGGTCTAGTTCATTATAACACCACACAAATTATGAAAACACTATACGCATACAAGTGGATGGAATGACATGTTTTAGGATCTACAACGCCACGTCCAGTGCACTACCAAAACATAAATCGTTACAAATAATCATTTTTTTTTCATACACCAACAATCGATAACGACAGCATAATCAAGACCGTTGTTAAAAAAACGTGACAAAATCAAATTGGTTACGGAATCATTTAAAAGAAAACTCCATGAGATAATTTATTAAAAGTAAAAACAAACAAGAAAGAAAGCACTTTCCAAAGGCCACAGAAAAAAATGCGTCCTAACACTAACGACGGGAATCGGAGTTGTAACCACATACAACGCAATACATTATACATCAACGCTTTGCTACGTTACCCCTTGAAACGTCGCCACGTGGCCGCTTCCTACCCGTTGGATTATCGTTCAAGTCAAAGCTCACGCCGTCTCCACCAACCATCTCAGCGAACATCCTTTGTAGGTCCTCGAAACTATCTCCCTGTTCAAACCCGATTACTAAATTACCCTTACCGAGTCCATCTCATACCGGCGCCTAAACCGGAAATATAACAAAAACTAAACAGAATCCGCCATCCTACCGGTCACCGATTCTAAAATTCACCGAACTAGAATAATGGCGATCGAAACTCTCTCTATCAACAGTGATACCGACATTGTGTCAAGCACTGAGTGATACAATTGAACCGAAAATTTATCATTGGTTTTCGTTTGACAGCCTAGATCCGAGCCCGGATACAGATAACCGGACCGAAACTTCTGAAACCGAACTGATTATAAAATTACCGACAACAACCGTCGGTTAATGGTCAAGTATACTAAACCGGAAGTTTAACCGGAGAACATAAATTAGAATCGGAGTTTAAAAGAGTACATACCTCGTCTTTGACATTGTTCATCATGGAGATCATCTCTTGCATGAAATCGCTGAAGTTCTGATCACAGAATTTGGTAGAAATTCAGGGCATAACCGCAAAATAAAAAGAATTGAATTAGATAAATGCGAAACAGTAAAATTCTTATAAAAGGTTAAATTTTTCTAGAAAATTAAGAATATGAATATAATTAGATATTGCCAAGGCAAATCATTGATCTATTGTGAGACCAAAGGTCGAGGAAAACGATGTTGCGTCTTGTACGGGCAAGAAGCAAGCAGCGACGGCGTTTAACATTAAATAGGCAAATTATCAAAGAGGAGAGAGAGAATGATTTGTACGGACTTCGTCATCATCATCGTTGGGATCGTATAATCCGGCATCGTACATTGATCTCTTGCTCCGGTCGGATAGAACTGTGAAAAGGCAATTTAAGAAGTGAGACGGACGTTAAGTGGCCACGTGAAGGAAGTTGACGGCTAGAGTAACGGACGTTCGGAATATATTTATTTTGAAGGGTAAATGTGAAATTACCAGAATACGCCTCCTGGATTTGCTGAAACCGACGTTTGGCTTCTCCGCCGGCGGCGGCGGCAGGATTCCTTGCGCATCTATCCGGATGCCATTTCTTCACGGAATTTCGAAAAAGTCCAAAAAACAAATCAAACATAAAATGGAATCATAAGACAATTTTCCAGAATCTGCAAAATTCGAACGAAAAATTCTCAGATAAAAGCTCCAAACATCGCAGAGAAAAAGTGAGAGAGCGAATCGGTCGAGTACCAGAGCGAGCTTCCGGTAAGCGGTACGGATGTCGGAAACGGATGCGTCCTGGCGAATCCCGAGCACCTTGTAGTAGCTGGATCCGACGTTCGATCTTCCTCCTTCACAAGCCATGCCGGAATCTCTCCGTCTCTCCCTCTGAACCTCTCTATGATCTCTCTCCCTGTCTCTGTTTCTCTCCCGAACAAGTTACAGTCACAGCATCGGAAACTGGAAGACCAAGAATCCCGCAAGGAATTAAGGTTACTCTTCAAATCGACGAAGAAGAAGAGAAGGAGAAGATATATGAGAATGCAATCGTAATTTTTTTTAGGGGAAGAGAACAAAATATCTTCGGGAGAGAGAGAGAGAGAGAGAGAGAGAGAGAGAGAGAGAGAGAGGACCAGAGGAAAGTTCGAGAGGGTTTGATTTTTATTGCGTTTCAGAGTTTTAGATATTTTGTTGAGGATGTTCAACTTCGCCATTGGATTTTCACATATTTACAGTATCGCCACCTCTTTGATGACGTGTCAAGTTTTCATTTGATCAATTTATCTTCCATCTTTTGAAGCAACGTATTTTTAGCGGGAAACTATATCTTTTGCTTCATAGCCCTTTTCCGGCCCACTGAGCCCAATCGGAGATTCAAATCAAAACGCCTTCCCGTTTCAACGTTATAACAAAGAACTACACACCGTTGTTATCAATGAAAACAACGTGGAGTTCACTTACAAATTGTAAAAATGGGGTTTTGCTTTTTCACCCCACTCTCACTCTTAATAAATAAACAGACATGAAATAATTTTGGACTACTCTATCTATCATTCAGAGAAACTCCATTGTCTATGCTGACATCTTCGGGTGGGTCACACAAGATTTGGTCGATGCTGAAATGTGCAGGAGAAGATAGTATGAAAAGTCGAATTCGTCATCGCTTCGGATCTGCAATGCTGGAATCCCGAATTGATAATGCAAACGAGAACATATTAGCATGTGTTGTGTTATAAAACCAAATACAAAATGTAATGGATTCGAATTTTATTTTATGCTAATTGCGGAATAAACTCGTGTGTTGTTTTGGCGAGAAATATGTTTGCCCTTGTTCATAAACGATGTATCAAATCACAAATCAACACTACGAGTTAAACAAAGTTGTTTGTTTTTCATACTTGGGAAGGTATTTTGGGGAGGTTAAAGGCATAACATGACATTAATAAGGACAATAAATTATAAATATTGATATATATATATATATCGATATATATGTTAAAGTATACAACCGGTTCGGTTTGGTTTGATTTAGTGTGGTGTGATACGAGAATCATTACCTGGATTCGGCAACGGCGCCCTTGAAAGAGCCGGGGGAGTGTTGTGATCCAATCGAACCAACTTGTCTGTGTTCCCGTAAGCTTGGAGCTTAAGTTGGTCCGCCAGTGCCTGTAATTAACGTCACAGAAAATATGATGATACTCGTAAGATATGAATGATTCTATGATAAATGAGAGGATGTTTCATAGCGACGACCAACCTGTTGAGATGGATCCAGTTGGTCGAGAGATAGAATACGCGCCGAGCCATCGATGGAAATTCCCACGACATCGTGGACGGAGTTTAAGACGAGACGGGGTTGGTTTAATGCACCGCTTTCGTAGACATAGAGCTCGTTGGTGTCTGTGGCGCATTCCATTGCATGGGATATCACATTCCTCCACGTGTTTTCGCTCATATTCCCGCTCTCTTTTATTATCTGCATTTGCCATTATTATTGCGTATTATACACCCAATAAGATTTTATCCCACGTGAAAATCATGCGTTAAATGTTCCAATGGATTATGGATATATTGTTTTCAAAATCCGAAAATACCCGAATCAAAAAATTTATAATCATTGATTTTTTCTATCTACTATTATACGTACTATATAACCCTCCAAACTTAAGGGAAACAACATTGTCACGTTTCATTCATGGAATTACCTCTAATAAAAAATGTAATAAATCGGAGTGAAATTATCTTACCTCGCGTAATTTGGCGGGGTTAGTATTATGCATCCGAAGTAACTCTTTGACATTGGAGATTTGATTGTTCTCAAGCCCTCTATGGAAAGGTCCATCCTTTCCGATTTGGATCAGTCTCCACACTTCAGAATTTGGCATCGGTGGATGATGCTTATCATTCTCTAATAACCACAACAACAAAAAAAAAACTTCTCATAACATAATACATGATATATATATGTGTATATATATATATATATATATATATAACGTACATTCACACTCACACTTATAGAGGGGCTAGA